TAGCAGCAGGCCATTCATACCTTTGTGTTAGCTGTCACAGCACTGAAACCAGCACTCTACCTGGTAATGAAATCTACATTTTAGCACAGAATTAGGTACAAAATTAAACCATTTAAGCTACAGCGTATTTTTTCTTATAATGTGAAGATTTAAAAATATCTCAAAATCCACAAGAACTAAAGAAAGACTGTTCAGGTGTCAGAGTGACAGAATATATATCCCTCCATTTTCACCTACCATGCCTAAGGCTGCATGGCTGTGAAGAGAAACAGAATAAAAATTTTCTAGAGTATGATCAACAGCAAAACAAAGAAAACTGTTCAGTGGGAAATCAAAGAACAAAATGAGCCCGATCTGATTTGCCTCTATTTGTGTTTTCCCAAAACACAACATAATTCCTGAAATATTGTGTTATCTTTGCATTTCTCAGTGATATGTACACAAAATATTTTTCAAAGAGCAGGACTCACAAGCCGGTCCTCTCAGACAAACACCACAAACAGGTTTATATACTGTTGTAACAAACACTTTCCAGCCACACACAGAAGTTATTCTGGTCTGCAAGAGACCTGATGTTTCTGCCTGCAATTGCTTCCTCATCATTCACGTCTGGAGTTGCATAGATAAGCAGATGCATTTCTATAAACATACCTGCTTATTACTCCACACTAAATAATGCTTTAAAGACAGATTTTGGGGTGAGGGTGTTAAGAGGATGACTTTCAGCCACAGATTTTATTGAACTGAAGCTGTCAAGCGCTAAGTGCAGCACCTCTGAGGGCAGCTCCCTGGGGACACGCACACCAGTGTGCCCACAGCAGAAAGAAGGGAAATTAAGCTCTATTACTTTCAAGGAACGTTGCACAGATTTTGCAGGACTCAAAAGTATTAAAGAAAAAAAAAAAAAAGATGAAAAAGTATCTTGAGAGAACTGGGCTGGAGGGAGGAAGATGGGGGACGAGAACCTAAATTAACTCAAGACCTTAACTGGAAATATAAGTTGTATGAAAATTAATATAAGATGTATGAAAATTCAACGTTATACACAATTGTGTTCGAAAGTATGAAAGCAAGAACAACCATTTTCTCACTTTCTACACTGTCTCCTTTCACAGCTTTGTTTCACAACATTTTTTGTTTTGTTTTTGATTGTCATCCTCCGAAGAAAAAAATCAGCTTAATGCATTGGCCTGGTTAAAGAAGGAAAATACTTTTACTTAAAACACATGTAAGATTGTGATATTTCCCATTATCATTGTAAATGCTGATAATTAAAAAAAACCCAAGAATTAACAAAATACATATCTAAGATAAAGGAGAAAAAGAAACAAAGAAATTTACATTTAATAGTACAAGTCTCAAAAAACCTTAATTCAAATTAATTGTTCAGCTTCCTAAGTGAAAGGAAGTCAGGTTCTGTATTTAAAACTTAGGCCTTTCAAACCAAATACCAGCTGTCCCTGTCTAAGCTCCCTCTTCTGGCTAATTAATAAACTCGCTTAGACTTTGTACATGGAAGTTTCAATCTTTCCAGTTCTTCCCTATCAATAAAAATCAATTATTTTTTAAAAAAATCTGTAAAGCAACTTTGATATTGAAATATATAACTTAAGTTTTCAATTTCAGACAGAGCCCTCCTGTTGTCTCACGCTGACAAGTTACACACACACACTTAAGAAAATAAACATGCCTGTACTATGTAGAGACACTGCAAACCCAGCCTGACTGACGCCCAACCACCTGCACCTCCTCTAAGCTTAAAAACACCACTGCCTATTTTCTGGGATTAGATATTTAATCCAATGTGAAATGTTTGTGTTCAAAACATACCAGACTAGTTAATTAGTCTCCAAAGTACACTTTCCCTTATTCACACGCTGATCGGGGTGCAGGGTGACCAGCTTATTTACTTGTTAGTAAAGTGGGAAGAGGGACAAAAATAAGGGGAGACCTCACTGCAGCTACAACTTCCTCCTGAGGGGAAGAGGATGGGCAGGCACTGGTCTCTGCTCTGTGGGGACCAGTGATAGGACTCCAGGCATCTAAGAAAAAAAAAAAGCTGATTAATTAATTTAAATTTTTTGGAAAACCAGGAAAACCGAGGAAAAGAATAAGAAAGAATAAGAAAGAGCACGTGAAGAGAAATGAACAAATCCACAAGGGAAGAAACAAGACAGAGAAGGCTTGAAAAAAAAACACTGACTGGAGAAACGCCCTGGGAGGAGACTGGCACAGTCAGATTCAGCAACTAAAGCAACCAGTCCTCACCAAACTAACACAAATTCATGACACAGAATGAAGACAGTGGCAGTGAATGGTCTCAAATTGTAGATACAGATGTCTTAAGCCAACAGTTACCCTCATTGTGGAGCTGACAAATTAATGACAAACAGAGTTTGGCAAAAATTTTTCATTCTCTTCTAAAACATAAGTCACTACAGATGATTTGTGGAAACAATTCAGAGAAAAAGGGAAGTACTATGCAGAAGAGTGTGAAAAGCACAACTCCAGTGGAATGAACATATAGAGGACAAAAAGTAGTTCATTCAGCTGTGGGTTTTCATTATCTCAATTACTGTAGTAGCACAATTTCTAAATAAAAGCCAAGCCACACTCCCAGCCAAGCCATTTTTATGAGACTTCTATCACAACTGTGTCAATGAAGGCAGGCAGTGCAGTCAGACTCCAACCTCTACAAATAATTTCTGTTCAACACCTTTTCGACCTTCAATCCAGCTAATGAAAGGCCTTGAAGGGAAATTCATTTCATGTTTATGCTCTTAAAGTACCTGCCCAAGTGAAAACAAAAATCTGTTTCTACATACAAAGTCTTAAAAGAACCACGACAACAAAAGATCAGATTGGACTTGTAATGCACGTGCGGGCACAGAGGACATGGCCAAGACACAGCCTCTGGAGCAAAATACTGATGATCTGGAAAAAAAAACGGTGGATCATTGAAGTTTAAAACCAGAGATAAGATTCCAAATGGGATTCTGACAGTTTGAGAGAAAAGAGGAGAGTGTGTGAGGCACTGACAAACTAAAGGTATCGCTGTGAAAAGATAAAAGGGAAGATACAACCAGGGACTGGGGGTGAGCTTTATACAGGACAGGAAGCCTGGAAAAGCTACATTGACTCTCCCATTGCAGACTGATAGACTTCCAAAGTACATGAACATACTGCATCATGGAACAAGATATCCTTTACACACTGATCCAGTAAAACAAGAACAGATGCCATGGCATCACGGCACCATTATTTAGGTCTGCCAGTACTTTTTCCACCAGTGAGCCTCAAACTGTTCTGTAAAAGTGCCACCCATTTTTTTTGTAAAAAAAAAAATAAACAAAGAAATAGAGTTTGTTCATGGTCAGAACTAGAATCAAAACAGTTACTTCATATTTTTAACTCAGTGATACAGTCTACCTGAAAAAAAGTCTCATTTTTTTGTTACTATTTTATATTAAGAATGTTTGGGGAATTTTTTTTTAAATATTTCACCTTAGTACTGCATCAATACATATTCTATTATTTCTGTATTTCACAGACGGTCAGTAATGCCTTCATTTAACACAGATTTTTAGCTCGTAAATCTTTTCCATCTTATCTTCTATTTTGATCCACAGGTCTTTTCCAACCTTTTCCAAAGGTTGTTATACTTCTGCGACTGGCATTTTGAAAGTATTCTTTTATGAAACCTTTTCACAACTTTTCATCTAAGTCAGCTCTACAGTAAATCACTACCAGAACCAGGATACAAAACTGAGCACAGGTACCCTGGCTTTTATACTCCTTAGCTCCCTGAAGTTAAATGAACTGGACAGCTAGAGTTTAATGACAGTAATGAAATTTTCTTTTCTTAAACGTAGTCCTTCATACAAATATATGCAAAATCTTTTATGGCATTCAGTAATACAAACCATTTAACAATCAAAAAATAACAAAAACAAAAAACAAACCAAACAAACAAAAACCCCAAAACAAACAAAAGAAAGCCCAGAACACAAAAAAAACTCCACCCAACAGCAACGCAACTTAGAAGTTTATAAATCATGTCCCTGCTAAAGTAGGAGTTTCTTCAAACGTGGACTGATTCAAGTCTTAAGGAAGCATATGAAAAGGCTTCTCTAGAAGCCAAAACCCAATGGAAATCAAAATATGAGATTTAGAGTGACCTGCTGGAAAATAAAAGAAAACAGTTTGGAGCCCAGCTGGTGGAAAGCACCATGCTTTGCTACCTGCTCTAATTTCTGAGGAGAGGAACCTGGGTGATGAGTCTGCTCTTAAACTGCACCTTCAGCTGAAGTGGCTAGTGAGGGTGTGTGAGGGATTGACAGGAGAAATGGAATCTGGAGCAGATGCTGCTAAAATCGATTAGCATGTGAAGGGCTGGCCCCGGGCTAGCCAAGGAGAGGCAGCTACTGGAGCAATCAATGGCAGCTGGTGGGAAGCAAGCCCAGGAGGAAGAGGCAACCAACACCATTTACTCCTTACAAATGTTTCCTTGCATAGTCAGGTCTAAGTGAGAATGCCAAGATACATATTTCTTCAAATGTTTATCCAAAATATACTACACACAATCACTCTTTGAACACTATTTTGAAAGGCCTTATCGCTCCATTACTAATAAGAATCTCCATGATACTTCTCAGAGTTCTGCAACCACATGTTCCTGGATGCTGACGAATGATGACTACATTAAACATTAAAACAGATGTCTGGTCTTCACAACCCAGAAACCATGCTGGGTTAAAACAGTAAAATAGTAGCATGATCCCACTGGGGAACAGTATGTTTACATAGAAAACTGTTTAATACCCAACAGGTAATTCAAGTCAAACAACTTTTAAACACAAAATATATTATTATCCAGAGCTTTTGGCAAAACCAGGCTTTAGTACAGAAATACATGCACGTGTTAACTCTGGGTGTTACGTATGTGAGCAACAGCCCCACAGGAGTTACTCCTTCCCCAGAAGACAAACACACTTCCTTACCTTCGGCCATTTGGGATTCAGAAGCCGTGCTTTGATTGCATCATCCAGGGCCTTGTCATACTGCTGGATTTTCATGTAGGCTGCCGAGCGGTTGCTGTAGAGGATGCAGTTCTGGGGGTCGACCCCCAAGGCCTCGTTGTAGAGCACGATTGCGGTGTGGAAATCGCCGTCATGGCAAGCCTGGTTGCTCTGGCGAACTTTCTCAACAAATTCAGCTTTGCTCAACATGGGACTGCCAGGACTTTTTCTTCCAAGAGATTTGGATCCAAAGAAAGAAATCTGGGAGGGGCAAAGGGAGAAATTATATGTTAGTGTTAAGAAATGCTACTCCAAAAATGGAAAGAAAAAAAAAATCGAACTATTTACAAACTGCACAGCAGAAATTAAAGCCACAAGCATCACTGCAGAACAAATTATGAATTCAGAATCAGATTCTTAAAAAAAGTACATTGTTTATCTACTGATATCCCTTTCTGAGGGTACAAAAGTAACAGAAAAAAGTCTTACAAAACACATCATTCCCTACGAAGGATGTCACAGGAGCAGCTGTAGTCTATTTATGTATGCTGCATTCCACACACAAGTGTTTTCCTCCTCAGCCACACTATTTGATTCTAGTGCACTAAGCATAGTTGCCAGGTAAAGAAGTTTCTCTGAGCAGGTGGCAGGTGTGAACACGAAGATGAAGCTGGTACATCTGAAGTTTGATATGCAGATTACACAGAAGCACATGTATGCTAGACAGTGGAAGAATATATTAATCCTCTTCAAACCAAAGAACTTGCACTGGTACGTCTGCTCACAAACCTCCACATCCAGCTACCTGCAGCTGCAAATTGTTCATAAAGGGAAGGGAAGGATGAGTCTTTGGAACCAGGTATACTCACAGAAATTAGTGGGACATAAAATTTATTTTAGCAACAGAACAGCCATTGTTGGCAGAGCCACCTTCCCAGACTGACAACCTCAGGCAATACAAAATAACAAAGAAAATTTGTTTGCCTTCTAATTATAAATATTATTATTTAAAGTGAGCTCTAGAAAGTCCTAGTCCCATTGATTCCGGTACACCCTTTCTCCTCATTTAACCTTCTACATTCCACATTTTCCTCAGCCAGTCCTTTGCAGTCGGTAACTGTTTCTGTCATGCAAACCCTACTCTCTCCCAAGGACCCTCAAGAATTCAGCAAGAACATCTCTGTCCAACTCTGATCACAAGGCAGTTGTGAATTGTGCAGTAATCATTTTTGCCAACAGGCAACACAATACGTATAGTAACATACAAAGTACTGGGAAATATTCATTAAAGGTTTAGACTACTATAGTTAAGATTGGTGTCATCTAGTTTTAGCCCTGCAGACTGAAAAAAGGTTAAGAATATCACATATTGTTACCACAACAACTGTGGGGATTAAATATATTACCAGAGCCAGCTGAGGCATATTTATAAAGGTGGAAAGGGAAGCAAGCTGCAAACTGACATCCTGTCTCAAGCATCAATTTGTCAACAGACTTTTATTTTTTTTTCTTCCCTAAGTCAAATAACAGCAGAAAAGCATCAAGTTAGAAACTACCGATTTCTTGTTTTTCTCATTATTATACTCATTCTTTTCTGACAGGTGTTTGTCCAAACTTCTTCTAAACTTCTCTACTGAAGGAGACTCCGTGTTTTACTCAGGCAATCTCCTTGCACTGCTTCAGGATTTTCATAATCAAAATATGTGTCCTAACAAGAACCCCAAATCTCCTTTGTACCAGTAGATGTACTGTTTCTTGTCCTGCCTACGGCAGACTTAACCAAACACTTTGTTCGTTTCATCTGTGTAGTTGCTTTTTATATTCTTGCTAATACAAGCTAGTATGTAACTTTTATTATTATTATCACTACAATATTATTATCATTATGAACAACATTATAAAAAGCAAATTTCTGCATCCTCAAAAATCCCTACCATGCGCAGTACATCTTTAAATGCACCAGATACTTCTTTGCTACTTCAATCAAGTTTACAAACAGCAACTTCGTATATTCCCAACCACCAGCAGGAAAACGGCTGTACTTTGAGCAACCACAGAAATGTTTGAGATGAACATCTTGCTTTGTCCAAGCACTGCAAAAACTGCTCACACATTTGTGAGCATCTGACCATAAACTTCATCCCGTGGACAGTTTGCTGCAACCTCAGGACCTGCAAGAACTCAATGTGAAGATCCAGCAGCTACTACATGGACAGGTGTTCAAACACAAAGATGAGGAAGCCCTGAGAAAGAGAATTTGTCACGAGGGGGGCTGGAGGTACTGCAGGAAGTGGGGCTGGTGAGTACCCAGGTGCCAGGGGCAGCACTTTCCCCTCGTGTTTTTAAAGGTAGCTGCCTCTCCCTGGTCACTGACATGCATCAGGGACAATGACAAAGACCAAGCACTGTATAGTTCCCACCCTTTTATCACATTCAGAGTGAATGACTGCAGGTTCCACAAGCAGTACCACAACTAGTCATGAACTCAAGTTATTTAGAAGATAGGTACTTCAGGAAATAGATTCCTTACCAGTTGCAGTAACTGCCCCCAGCAGGAAGCTTGGCCTGGCGAGAAGGCACAGCCACACCACCCTGGAGAGCTCAGGGCTGTGGCAGGAGGGGAACCTCACCCTCACCACGGGACTGTGCTCTCAGCCCACCAGCACTGCTTGCCCAGGACCAGCCTGCCCAGGCCAACCAAGAGCCACCGAGCCCTTGGCAGCAGAGCCTCTGTGAGGACACAACTTCAAGGAGCACCAGTGAGACAAGTCCAACAACAGCTGTCTTTTCTGGCAGTTTATTATGCACAAACAAATGAACACACAAACTTGTTAATGGTGCTTCCAGAATCATACTGTGAGTCTGTAACAAGGAGGAGAATCCAAGAGCAGACATCTTCTCAGTCCAAGTGAAATGGTTTCTGCCCCTAATATACTGTGACACTAAATAATCTCATGAAGAAAAAGGAAACTAGTTTAATGGAAACTATGATGGTAATTTGTGGAATATGCCATTATTTAATTCCTGCGATCATAAGAGCTACGTAAGGCAGTAAAACATCATTAGGTAAAAGAAAAAACCACAGAACAGTAAAACTGAGTCACTCTGGCACTCAAACCACAAATAAAAAAAGACTATGATGATGGTACCAACACACAAAAAGTACTCATTAAAAAGTCATCCCTGCTTTCCAGTTAGCACTGCTCTTCTGCTACTATAGTGGAAGGTAATGGCAATGCACAAACTTGGGCTGCCTAACATTTTGTAGTAGAAGGTGGTCTCCTGTACTAAACCAATGCTAAAGAAGTTTCTTAGAGCAGCAGAACAAAAAAGGTTCTAAAGAAGTGCAGAAGAGGATCTAGCACAGAAAGTCTGAGTTAGGAGCTCATGTATTTCTGAAGAAGAAAGATGGCACAAGTTTCTCAGCATTACTCCTCCAAACCAGCATTAGGCAGCAGAAACCAGCTCCTACTACTGAGGCCACATCAGACAGAAGGTCCCACAATATCTGCTTCAGATGAGACTCAGTAATTAATTCGCTTCACTGGTGAAAAAGCCTCCTCTGGCAGAAGGTGCTCAGGATTCAACCCTACTGGCCAGGAGAGGGGAGGGTTAAACACCTACAATTTTCTTTGGTCTTTCTCTTTTCAAGAAGAAACAAACTCCCAATCCCACAAAGCAAACGGGAATTTGAATACACATCAAAACCTAGGTTACAAGAACTTCTATCTTCCCGGATCAAGCTTGCTAAACTTAAGTTGTCTCTACAGAACATTCACCAAATAAAAGCAGTGCCCACACACACTGAAAGATGTGACTGTCTGAAGAGCACATTGCTATCCAGAAAGACATGGGGAGCAGATTCCCAGTGAGTTCCAGTAAGATGAGTGAGAAGAGATAACAGCAAATCCAGACTCTGCTCCAAGACAAGAAGGTCGAGGGAAAACAATGTGGTTCAGCACAGTGAAGAGAACGCTTTATCAAAGAACCAATTTTACAACTCAGCTTGTTCATTTGTACACAATCCCTCTCATTTAATGCTAAATAACCAAATAAATATGCCTTATATAGATGATGTCTTGGGTGGCAAGTCCATAATTAAGACATCTTTTTAAAAAAGCTCTTTATAATTTAAAAAAAAATACTTCAGGTGTCATATGTAGCATTTTTATATCTTAAATTATCTAAATAGCTCAAGATACTTAAGGAAGCATCAGAAAGAGGAAAAAAGTAGAGGTAAGGAGAAAAACAGGCATTCCAAGTGGATTCTGAAAAAAAGTGACAGTAACTTATGCTAAATACAGGTTTCCAAAATCAGCTTAAACCTGTAACTGAGCTTCCATTTCTATGACAATATCTCTACATCATCTTGTATTTTAGTCTGTAAAATGGTTTTATGTTTTTCAGTCCGTATACTGGGGTATTATTGTTTTCCTGTAACAGAAACTGGCTTCAACAAGAGCCCAAGAACAAATCAAGCACAAAAAGTCTATCCCTGTAACCTCCCTGCTCCCAGTAGCCAACACTTCAGCCAGGCTGTACCACACTCCCGAACAGACATGAAACCTTGCCAAGCCACATGCAACCTTCCCCCAGTCAGAGCAGAATTTTAACAGAAATAGTGTGGGAAGAGAAGGAAAACTGAAGGATTAAGCCACCATAGGATGTGCACAACAGCTGCCCAGGCTGACAGGCTTTTCTAAGCTGGCTTTTGTCTTCACAAGTTGTTACCAAGTGCTGCTTGGGAGCACATCTTCACAGATGCGAGAAAACGTTTCCTCAAATCGCAGCAACACAATACATACACCCCCAGAGGTGGGACATCAGCAAACTGGGCAGTGACCCAGGCTATCCCCTGACAAACCGGCAGGGAAAGGAGACACAGGGCAGAACAGCCCCTGGGGACACGGCTCTGTCAGCGGAATAGTGGCTGCGACTGCCTGTGCGATTTGGAGCCTCCACGAAAACAAACCCTGGGCCACCACCCAGCACCCTTTAGCACTGCTACAGGCACCTTCTCCACATCAGGAGCAGTATGAAGGAAACCCTACAAACTTCTGCTGCTTCTGCCATTTTTGATGTCCTGCGGGTTTAACCTTCAGCACCGACTCTGTGCAGTTGTCAGGGCATCACATCTCACAGCTCCTGCAGCCTAAAGCACTCCCACCAGTGCCAGTAAATACCATCCTGGCAGACCAGGCTTCAATTTCCTCTGATAAATCTACATTATAGGGGAAATAAAACTCCAGGTTAGAGTTTCACAAAGTATGAGGTAACACAGAAGTCAAATTTCCAAATTTAAAAAAAAAAAAAAACACACCAAATTCTATATGGAACTTTTAGATTTTCACAGAAAATCATACATCATAAAAAAGCTATAACTTGTCTAAAAGCATAAATAAATCAAAAGGAACAAACGACTTGAAAAGAAAACCATAACTTACAGCACTATTCTATTAAAACCCCCCCACATTTTAGTAAATTTCTTAATGGAATATATGTCTAAACTTCTGGAGCATATTGTTCTGCAAATATTTTACTACTTTGATTTTGCATTGCAATTGGAGACAAAAATAGTTTAAGTACGAACTTATCAACAGGAAGGAAACAGATTTTTCTTATAGAAAAAGGGGTTTTTTTAAATTTTTTTTAAAAATGAGAAGCAATTGTGAGCTTCCAGCACTGAGCTTGAAGAGATCTATCACTAACGTAAAAGAGAGAGCTAGTATAAGCTAAAGGGAGCTCAAAATACTCAATTTACTTATTATTAATAATAATTAATTGCAAACTACCGATGAGAAAACAGAACTTTCCCTCTGGCCTGTCAGTGAGTCACAGGAAGACAGAGCCAGAAAGGAGGGAGTGATGAATCAAGAGTGCAGCAAAAGCCAGGCCTGAACAGGAACCTCCCTCGAGGAACACCTGTTAGGGCAGCAGGGCTATTGCTCCCTGGGTTTTGCTGTCTGCAACAAACCATTCCACTGCTGCAGTCCAGCTGTTGTCTCTGAAGGGACATGTGCCACCAGGAGTGCTGGTCCACCAGCAAAAGGGCAATCCCAGAACCCACTGATATGCAGGTAACAGGTACCTTACCTACAACCTCTCATTACAAAGCTCCAGCTCAAGTATGGACCCGCCCAGTTGTCATGGAGGCAACTGGTATCCAGGCAGGGAGGAAAGGACTCACAGTGGACAAGAAAGAGGTTTTCCGCTTCAGTCAAGAGGGGGATAATGGGATACAGGAAAGCAGCCACAAAAGAAGACTTGATCCATTTCCAGCAGAAATCCACACACAGACTGCTGCTGCTGCAGTGGATTCCAGCTCTTGAAAACTGAGATTTGGATAGTACAGAGTACATACAAGTAACAATAATCATTAATGATAATTATCACTAATAAGAATCAGTAGTCTTATACATTAGTAGGACCTAGAACCTCCAAGAACATGTGACTGTGTGTTTAGACCAGAAAACACCCCCCTCCCAAAAAGGGAACCCTACTGCTGATGAAAATCTTTTAACATTCAAGGTATACCCACTCATTGACTCATCAATAAACTCTTTTCAAAGAGGCTATAAAGGGTTCCATTAGCACCTGAAGAGTTCTTATTCCGCCACAGAAGAAAGCACAGGAGGGATGATATTATCTAGGATTATGAAAACCTCCAAGAAAAATGAAAGACATCCAAGAATAAACACAAACAGCTTCAGGAAAAGATGAGGAAGGACAATAAGGTATAGGCACCCAGCTGTTTCAACTCTCTGTTCACTGGGGACAACCAGGGGCATCCCTATGGCTGCAACATCAAACTACAGGAGTGTGGGCTGCTGACTGGGATAACACCTCTCACCCTTGATGGCCAGTCTGTGTTCCAGTGCATGGGCAGAGCCACATTCATGACATTTGCTGTCATCCAAGATGCACTCATTGAATCCAATCGCCAGATTCCAAGCTCTGTCAGTAACAAAGCTCCTACAACCGAGTTCATGACAACTTTCCCCGCGGCCGGCGTGCCCAGCGGAGGCACAGCCAGCCTGAGAACGTTTGTGTCTGTGCCACTGCAGCGGGGTCTGGAGCTCTGCAGCGCCGCGAAGTACACCTGACACATTTACCGTCAAACTTCGGAGATTTTAACGAGATAAGTTTCGGGTTTGCTTACCGGGGCGCCCGGAGCGAGCACAATGCCCGCGCCGACACCCGAGCTCCCAGCCCGCGCGGGTCCCGCTCCAGCGTTCGGGGGCAGGCCCGGCCCCTCCGCACCGCGGCAGGACCCGCCGGGACCCCCGCCCGCCGCGCTCCGCCGGGCCCGGGGCTCCCAAGAAAGCGGGGCCGCGAACGGCCCCCCAGGGAGCCCGTGGCGGAGGGAGCCGAGCGCTCGGCCTGGCGGCCCCGGAGCCCCGCCGGGGAGCTGCTCCGCCGCCGTCCGGCCCCTCACGGCGCCTCGAGCCGCCGGGCCTGCGCCCCCTCCGGATTCCCGCTCCGTGCCGGGACAGCCGCCCGCCCGCCCGCGCCCCGCAACTTCCCTCCGCCGCCCGCGTCCGGCCCGGCCCGGCGGCTCCTTCCCGCCTTCCCGGCCGCTCCAGCGCCGCCCGTCCGGCGTCAACTCACCCGGGCAGGCTCCGCGTCCCGCTCCCGCCGAGTCCGGCCCCCCGCCACGGCCCCCGGCGGGGGCGGCGGCGCCTGTTGCTCCATCGCGCTCCTCCTCCTCCTCCTCCTCCGGGGGCCGATCCCGCTCCGGCCCCCGGCGCCACGTTCGGGGCCCGGCTCAGAGGGACCGGCACTGCCCCGGCCCCGCCCCGGGGCTGGGCTCGGCTCCGGCCGGACCCCGGGCACCCCCGCCCGAGGGCGCCGGACGTCCTGCGGCTGCAGCCCCGGCTCGTCCCGCCGGGGCGGCCCCGGGCCCGGGGCAGCTGCTCAGCCGCGCCTCTGCCGGGCTCCGGCGGGGCGGGGGGCGAGCCCGGCCGCAGGGGCCGCACGGCAGAGCAGCGGTCGGGTCCGCCGCGGGTGGGCCCCGTCCTCACGGAGGATACAGCTCTGTCTGCCCAAAGGCAGCGGCGGCCTGAGCCCGAGGGTAAGCAGGGCTCCACATCGCACCGCAGGCGGTGACACTGGTCACTCGCGACACCACTCTGGCCGCGCACAGCGAGGCTCAGCACCTTTGTTAGCTCAAACCTTCCAAATCCTGTGACCCCTTGTGCCCCTTGAAGTGAAAAGGGAAATGGATTATGCTGAAGACTCTTGTGCTGTGAATAAAGAAATTTGTTGTCTAAGTGCAAATCAGCTGCCACTTTACCATAGTGAAATTTAGTGACACTTCCCAAACTTTAGAAAGCTTTCTGCAGTAAATGAACACGTGGCCAGCAGCCCAAAGGTTTGTCATCAAATTAGGGAGATCAAAATTAAGACATCATTAGAAAGTAGGTCTTAGTCGGGACCAGAGGAAAGGATCCAAGCAAAGCAGTTACAGATTATCTAACAACTGTGCGATGTAAAAAAAGATGGAGGAATAAATCACAGGTGTCTTCTATTTCAATATAAAAACCAATTGCTGTTAATTTACAGTGTAAGTAGGAGCTAGGGAATTATCTTCTCATTGGCAATGATGCAGGTCTTTTAAAGTCATTGGTAACCAAAGCCCATTGGCTTTTGCAGTACACCAGGACACAAACCTAGGCCAAACACATCACATCCTTTATGATCCTTTCATCTAGCAAATGGCAGCTGAGTGTTCCCTTCTACTTCAGATGAGCCACAGGAAGCACCAGAATTCCCCAAGGATGTGCCAGTCTGCCATGGGTGTCCACCAGAAAGGGCACATCCTCAAGGACAGACATGCCTTTCTCTTTTCTAGCACCTTGGTGTATCTGCAGTGCATTGGAACTAGTGGTGCTGTTTCCATCCAGATGCCCATGGATGTTCTCCATCTGACTCATTAAGAATGACATCAGTGTATAAGAACTGGCATTTTATCATTAGCAATGGTTAATATCAAATACATTGAAACACACAAGACCTCTGCAATGGGCACATATGGGAAAACCTGAATCATGGATGTCATATTCCTACCTGACATGGGTTTATTCCATAACCCATTATGTTTTTTCTTTCCAAATGAACTTACAGTAGATGCCTTTAACTAGAAGGTGCATATTTGAGAACAGAGTTACTAAACTTCTCTCAGCCAATAATAAAATTAATATCCTTTAGTAAAAGCTACACAATTGAAAATTTTCACTTAGGCAAGCAAACTAAAAACTGTTTCTCTCTCATTTTAATTCCTGGTTCTTCCCTGGCAGGAACTTATACATCTTCCTTTCATCACTTGTTATCATATTTCCTCTTACTCGTCCCTCCTCTGGGAAATAAACATAGTACACACATGTTAGAAACACCATGCAGATGGTAACTCTTGCTTTAGAAGCCAATCAGCCCCTTCCCAGAGCAGGATGCTGCGAGTCTGCCCAGCCCAGCATGGGAGCTTTACCTGAAGCCCAGAGCACCTCAAGCTCCATGGGTAGTTTTACATCCCAACTGAATAGTCTAAGTGTCCTCAGAAGTCTGTGGGCAGCATTGTGTCAGGTAATGCCATGCCTCAGGCAGAAGCTCAACAAACCTAGTATTCCTTTCTCATCTGTGAGGACCAAGCATTATTTCCATGCCTAACCTAGAAACTGGAAGAGAAGAAACAAAGAATACAGATGAGGATGAAGCTAGCCTAAAAATGGTTAATAACTCAGTTCAGGAGGTTATTTTGGTATTTTCCTTGAGTCAGACAGCTGGATAGACCAGAACATGACTATTTGTGCAGAGTATCATGCATGCACAGCAGTCACTTCAGTCTTACAAAGTAATTTTTATTTCAAAATTGCATCTTCAACAATGTTGAAGCATGTCATTCCATTATTAAATTTTTATTAAAAAAAAGTCTGCTTTCCATACAAAAAGCTGTCATTTGCAAAAGTCACTTTCTCTTCTTTTTCACCTCATTTTCTGAGACGATGTAGAAGGAGCAGTTCGCTTAGAAGGGCCAGATTCTTCCTCATTTTCACGGTGACGCTTTCTCATTGTGGTTGGCTAAAAGAAAGATACAGCAGGATGGCTACAGAAACCAAGCAAGACAGAGCCTGACTGTTCTGCTTGCTCCAGAATTACAGGTGCTGGCAGTGTCTCCTTTCTGTGACCAAAAAAGCAGCGTGACTAGTCCATGTTTCTCTACCAAGATCCATCTAATTATATTTGAGCCTTCTCATATAAGACATTGCTCCCAGCTTGAAACAGCTACTGTTTACAATTCACCTAATTAGCATCTGGTAATGAATGGCACAATGCCATCCTAAATTTGCACTAACATGAGAATTTTTCCTTGAATACTAAACATTAGTGACTTGTATCCATTAAAAAAAAAAAAAAGTTCAAAAATTTTATTCTAAATATATGGTTAATTCTTTAAAGCCTAGGAGACTGTTTCTATACATTGAAACAAGTGTTGACAAAGCACGGAAGTCCATTGCTGCTCCTCAGGAAGCAGAGATAACCAGCAGGCTGCCACATACTGCCCAAGGGCACGTTTCTTTCAAGTCTCAAAATTAACTGATTTTCTTATTACGAGTTACTTCAAAATCTAATTTCTCTGCGCATCAAATATTAATCTTCAAATATCTGTTACACATACCATTTTTGATGTTTGTGGTGGATCCATATTGGTACGTGTCTGAGCAAGTAGCTGTCGAAATGTACTCTTCATATCCTCATCCTGGGGAAAAAACAGTAGCTAAGTGGTAGATAGAATATTTAAGGGAAAAGCAAAGATTGGGAAACTCCAAGAGAAGCAAATGGGACACTCACTGCTAGAGACAATTAGAAATAACAATCATTGAGCTCCTAAGGATTTCAGCTGTTTTAACTAAGTTTCTTGGGGGAAGGCAGGGGAGGGGGTCGTTTTTCTAAGCAATGGAGTCTTGCAGTATATCCTTTTTTGTTTAACTATGTTCTTAAGCGCTACAAAAAGGCTTTGTTGTGAACATCCATTTTATTTTATACAGCATTTTGACTTGTTTTTCTTTTCCAGCATCACTTGATTTGACTGTGGGTACCTTTGAGTTAATGGGTAAGGTAAGATAAATATTTTTCCATTTATTTAACAAACACCTGAGTGTTTTCTTTAGCATGCAACCAAACTAAGTCCTACTCATAAGACCTCAGTGAAGTTTTCAGAGGCAGAAACAGCAATTATTTACATGCCTTTGAGAAACGTTTTCTTAAATACCTGTTTTATTAAATACAGGTAGGACATTTCCACTGAGTAGTACTTAGGTTTAAGCAGCTCACTAAGTTTTAAAGCTGTAGATTCAAGCAAAGAACGGAGTGAACAGCACATGTATTGAAAACACTACTTTGAAAGCACTACTGGTTTAAACAAATCTGTAGAAATTAAATATTGTTTGGAGAACACGCTACTTTTAATATCTGAAAAATTCCCTAGTGTACCCAAAATCATCAGAGGGCTATCAGGCATTAGCTGGTCGCATGGAGAGTGTGGTTTTTCGTGCTGACTTGTAAAGTCAATACTTCCAGACAACACAAGAGGGAGAGAGGAGCCAGTAACTCCTCACTACTCTCAGTAACAGGACTCAGGAGCTCTTTTGGTGGTAGTAATCAACGTGTGTGATATCTAGAACTGAGCATGCTGGATGTTGGCCTTCCAAGCAGGCAGTGTACAATCACCTATGAACATCTGATACTCTTAGTAACAGCCCCTGAAGGGAAACAGTTCAAAGAACAGCAGCTGTGTGCTAGCTGACACCTGGATTTGTGGCTATTATGATTTCTCAAACTTTTTGCCCTGACTTCGAAATTAAATTTAACAGTAAGAGGTGTCCCTAAATGGAATATATAACCAAGTTAATAACAACTTGGGTTTAAATACTGAAATGTCTCAAATTCTTAGTCTAAATCACTTATCTATTTCCCCTTCCCCATTATGCATACCAGCAACTCTTAAAATAAGTGTAGCATGGTTTCTAAATAACATTTTCTGCTCAGAATTATAATTTAAATGTAAGAATGTATATCTGATTAACTCACTGTAGAAGTTACACACAAAACTACAGTAGTAAAAGCCAGGAATGCCAAGAAAACTTTTCTGATGCACAGCAGCATAATTAAGTCAAGTTAATCACTTAAAAAGAGTCATCCATATGCAATTTTTGTCTCGGGACACTGTCAGCTCTTAAGCACTGAGGGATATTCCGTTTCTTCCACCTCGTTTCTTATGTTCTTCACCAAAGCATGTAAACCACCCTGTTCACAGGGGGGGACAGGAATAGCAGTGTGCTCGGCATGAGTAAGTAGAGCCTGTTGTGTGGCTCAGGGGTAGGCTGGGTGACTTTTTTCAGCCTCCTCAAGCAAGAATATCCAGGAAAGCTCGTTAAGTCCAGTGGTCACCTCTGGAGTGCCAAAATTAAGGAAAGACCACCCAAAGACTACCCCTCACAAAAGCTAGACTGTGACAGGAGGCAGGGAAACCATCAGTTCCTACTCAGAGGGTACCCAAACCAGCGACATTTATTCACATTCAGCAGAGTAAGAACACAGTAGTACTGGACACCTGCCAGAAATAAACTCTGCACTGCCTGCCCACACAAACAAGCTGAGGAAGTGGGACTTCGTTACAATGCTCAAAGGAAGAAGTCCATCCTTATCAGACCACAGTCAGACTTGGTCTCTAAAAAAATACATCTTGATCTTCAGATGTGAAAGAGTTCTGGGAACAGGTGTCTCAGAAAGGATGCAGTAGCTGCTGATTGTATTGAAAGAAGGAATTCAGCAGACTACTCCATGCTACTTTTGCAGTCTTTCCACAGGGACTAATTCTTTGAAAGCACAGACCAGCTACAGGTGCAGAATGGGCTTAATTTTCTGTGAAAATATCCAGTCTTAAAACCAGCAGAGTCTGTACAACCAGCTGGCAGAGAGGCAGTGCATGCCCATGGGAGGCACCAAATGACAGCTGTTCTCCTGCTGACTCCTGTCAGAGACAACCTATGGACAGGCAGGCTTAAGCTCTGACTTAAGATCACAGTTGTTATTGCCAAGAAGCCAAAGAACTGAAGCTCTCCTTGCCCATCACTGTACCCCTCCTGTGGCATTCTCCCCAGAAGCAGGGTCAGGCACACATCACACCTCTGGTGAACAGTGGTCAGGGCTCCCCAGCTTCCGTGTGGAAGCAAATTACACTGCATCAACAAAACTTCACAATGTTCAGGCTGCTGAACTGCCTTTGAGTTCACATCAACAAATTATCCCCCCAGCAACCCAGCTTTGCTGTATTTCAGTTAAAACTCAATTCCTACCTGAAGCCAAGGATGCTTTAAGGCTTCCTCTGTGGTAAGACGTCTGCTTGGATCCACTACTAACAGCTTCTTCACAAGATCCAGAGCTAGAACAATTAAGAGATCTGGTTGACATAGGATCAATACATTCATTACCTGAAATATGCCTACAAAAAGCTATGTGCAAGAATGTGTCTGATACCCCTTCAGAACAATGCCCAAAAATACAGGCTGGGCAGATCACTTTTCTTTTTTCTATGCACAGGGAGGGCTGCAGACTGCAACCATCTTTCCTTCACATGCACATGACACAACACTTTTCAATATATCAAAATTACCAGTAGATATACTGAGCATGTTCACAATTTATGTTCTGAGCATGCATAGGAGACTGAGCACTTTCCTAAAAGCTTCAGTATTACTGTGGAAAAGCAAAGACAGCTTAATTTAATTTCCTGGTTTACTGTGTCTTGGAAAGCAGATTGTCCATCTGGGAAGGTGAGAAAGAAGAGACAGACACATGTATGCTCAACATAAGCTCAAACTTTCATTTTCTTAGGAAGCTGCTTACTAGACACATTGAAAATACGACATTTATGTCATATTTTATTATTCCAAGTCTCCCATAAGGGAATTTCGGCAAGATTTACTTTTCATTGTATCTGATTATTCTAAATACATACCGGTAGGACTACGTACAACCTTAACATAATTTCTGTTCTCATACATGTCTGACTTATTTTTGAATAAGCTGCAAATTATTCAGGAAGGAGTTATACTTGGTAAGTTTATTAGGCAAAGAATGACAGCATCATTTATTAGAAACTTCTCTGCACATACAAAGGAGTATCCAAGGCAAATACTACAATTATTTTGTGCATATAAAATGTCCTGAAAAAAATAAAAGCATGCAAACAGTAGCTATCATTGCAGTTTACTATGCAGAAACTCCATTTCGCAGACTACTTAGCTTGTAGTGGGCCAAACATAATAGCTGATTCCACAAATGTGACTGACACTTTCAGCTGGAAGTCTAGCACCATGAAATGACTCTCTTGGAACATTTGTCTTTTGGAGTTCTAGTTCATATTCCTTAAATTCCTGGCATTTTTGGCTCAACACTTGAAGAATCTTTAGGTAAGGCAAAGTCTGTAGACCAGCTTGATAAAGTCAGAACAAAAAGTGGAAAGAGGAAAAACAGACATATGTGCCCACAAACTCTATACTTCTGTGGTTAATTACATTAAATATTACTAAGAAATCTCTTCAATGGAAATGTATCTCCTCTTTCTAATGCTTTAACTACAAACTTTAAAAAAAATTAAGACACTACTTTAAAAACTAAACATATTAACATGCAATTTGCCATACAGCTGGAAAGGAAGATAAGGGAAAACACAAACTACAAGAAAGGAGGTTGATATTCTGCTACCCCCTGTGCTGGAGTCATACCCATGTCTGACACATGCTTCCATTCTCTTGCAATGAACCTGTATTCTCCACGAGTGATTTGATCTTCCAGAGAGAGTTTACTATTTTGCTCACTGAATGGTGGATATCCACACAAGCTACATAAAAGAAAACAAGTTAAATAACACAGATTTCGTCACAGCAAATGAAACACTGAAATCACACATTTTAAAGCACCTCCTATCACAGTGATTTTACACATGTGAAGTTTTAAATACACTTTCACTTCCTAATATAGATACTGAAGTTGCCATGTCTCAAGCCACATATGTCAAAGACTGCCCAGTGAAGGTACATCTACACAGTATCTTACCATACAAAAAGAATAACTCCTAAACTCCAGCAGTCCACAGCTCGGCTGTATCCAGCAGTCCCAAGTGAATTTAGAACCTCAGGAGCAAGATACATGGGGGTACCACATAATGTTTTCATAAGAGAAGCTTCTCCAAGAATCTTGGATTGTCCAAAATCTGTAATCTTGTATTTAAAAACGGTAACACCACATTACATATTAGGATGGACTGTACTAGAACACATCACATTGTCCTCATAAATCAGGAAGTAACATCAAGTTTCTTCCTTCCAAGCCAGCTCCAGTACATGACTATGAACAAAAGTTACCCAAACTTCTGTGAGTTTTAAGTGAGAATGGGAGAGGAGGAAGAGAGAGAAATATATGACAGAGGATCACACTTTTACACTAGCAAAAAGTACTCTCAAATTTAGATGTAAATGGACAACCAGAGAATAAAGGTATTGTAGCTTATGAGAAGAGATGACTTAAAAAATAAGCACTTTACCATGCAAAGCTATTCAGTGCTTTCTCTGTGGAAAAAAAAAAAACCAACACAAAAGAAAACCAAAACCCTCCCCTCCCCATAAAAGAACAAAAACACCAAAAAAAGCCCTGTCACATACAACTTGTGGGAATGCTGCCTGTAATTCAAGAATTACATTTTATTGGGAGGAAAAAAAAAAAAAGCATTGACATTTGAAGTTAGTTATGCAGTGTATGGGTTGAAATACCCACAAAAGTAAAAATAAAATTATGAAAAAAAAAAAAACCCTCGATGTTTTAAGTTATTTCACAGTTTGTATGACTACTTCCATAATATCTTTTTGGATATGTTTAACAAAATATCAAGAAGAATGAGAAGGAATATCCCCAAATTTCTCCATTAACACGAAATGTAAGTTTTCTTACCTTTATAAGACATGTTTCTTCAGAAGACGAAAGTAGGACATTTTCTGGCTTTAGATCTCGGTGTATAATTCCATTGTCATGAAGATACTGGATATATACAGATAGACAATTAAGGGAACACAGACTGTTAACCTGTTTTAAAATGTAAGCTTTCCAATTTTTCCCATGGCAATGGCAGGATAACAGAAATAGCTGTGTAAGAGGCATTTAAAGCTCCCCAGCTTATGACTCTCCCTTAAAAAAAACCAAAACAAAAAACCCCAAAGAAACAAACACCTTAGAAATCATTATGCTCCAAATGACAAATCTCACTGCAAGCTCAGTGTGCAGACCTGCCCTGGTGTTACATACTTCCCATTCTCTGGGAAGTTACACTTCTTCATCTCAGTAAAAGCACAGAACTAAGGAAGACCCAAGTTCTGTGTTGCCTTTGTAGGAATTCTGGTTTTCCATTTCTCTCTCGTTAAACCAAATTGTTAAGAATGCTGTCCTGATTGCTTGAATGGGTTTCAGAAATGACAAGTGACAGAAAAATTCATCTTACCGACATTCATATGCATAACCATATTTTTTTTCTTGGTAGAATTCACCATTATGTACCTTTACTGCCAGCAGCATCTGATAAAAATACAACTTGCAGGTAGATTCTTTCATCTTGATTGGCCTTGACACTCTGTCATACAATTCTCCTCCTTCCATCCTAAAACAAATGCAGGTAAGAAGTCAACACATGACTTCCAAAAGAGTCCTCTCATTAGACAGGACTAAGACCAAAACATTTGTCTACAGAGACAGAGTATGTTTCTGAAAACGAGCGAGCAACATCCTAAACACAGCACCTGCACTGCTGAGTTTGGGTCAGTCTCCTAAGTCCTCACTGGGACTTGTTACATGATTTTTGATCAGTCACCTCTTACGAGCTCCAAAATCAAAAAAGTAGCAGCCATCCATAACAGCAGCACAGCAAACAATATCCAGGCACCAAGTGCCTACAAAGCTTAGAAGGATGACTCTTCTCCTGGTTATCCTAGCTCCTAATTTTAGAGAGGTTTCAGAGAACAGTGGAGGCCAGCAAAATAAAAAAAAAAATAAAACAAACACACCCCCCACAGTTCAGAACTACACACATTCTTTGTAGTTATGAAAAACATTTCATTTTATGTATGTACTTTCAAACAATTTACTTACAGTTCCAAAACAATGTAGTAATCCTCTGCTTCAAAAAAGTTTTTGATCTTGATTAAGCAAGGCTAACAGAAAAGGGAACACAAATAGAGACACACAAAAAAGTAGAATAATTTGTAAAAATTAATCCTAAAGTTCCTACTTCAGTATTTCAACCATGTCACTTTAACACTTAACACAAGTGGCTAGCAAGCACCCCAGACTTTGGTAAACACAATCCTTATTTTTCCAGTTGTGAGTTACCATCCCCTCAACATTTTGTGTATTTTACGTGCAGAGAAAAGAGGGGATACAAATTCTGCCAGTCAAAACTAATCTTTATATTTGGTTATCTCATGGCATTTACAAAAACATGCATCGAGGAAAGATTCCTACAACAGTGGTTCAGGTTGAAATTTCTCCTGTGAAGTTTCTTCTCAAATTTACATCTCATTTATACAAACTTTTAAAATCTCAAATCTGCAAAGAGACAATATAATTAAAAGAGGAAAAAAGACCCATTCAGTAATTTACAAGAAAAAGCATATGCCTCCTTTAACACATTCTTAAACAGATAAAATTGATCTTTAGTTACCACACTAAGGTCAGTGAACTACACAAGTACATACAGTAGGAAGCAGCAAGGAATAAAAATGTACAGAAACACTCACGTGATCTATTTTCTTCAGAATTTCAATTTCTGTATCGATATTAAAAGCTGGGTTCTGTTAAAATAATCAAGTATATTGGGTAAGACAGTGCTGTTCTGAAATAAGACACATCAGAAATTAAAGACAGTACCAGAAAAGCCATCATGCCCCTTGCTACTCTAAGTGATCATAACATACAATCTTTTTCCATAAACTGATCAGGTGCCTTCAGTGAATTAAATAAACAATCTGCTGTCACTATCAGGAGCAAGATATTGCTCCACACATGTCATTTCACTGCGGGTTAGAAATCCCCAACTAATTTCCAAATGACAAAAACGGAAAAATACTGTCATGTATATACCTGTATTGTCCTTTAAACCAAGCCCCACAAGACTCCACACCACCCTCTGTATACACCCCACTACTAGTCCTAAATTATGAACCCAACAGAACGTGGTCAAAGAATGAAAGTAACCATTTCCTACAGAATTCCGTAGATGCTACAAGATCAAAAGGCATTTAAATTAAATTTCCTACATTAAGTGAGAAAATCCTCTTTAGTTGAAGATGGCCAGGGAGTCAGAGAAGTCAGCAAATATTCCAGGGCCACTGCAAGACGGCCAAGACAGACGGACGGACAGACAAACAGAAACACTCACTGCCTCTCTCGGGCCGCTCGCCGCAAACTTGCGCTTATTGATGATCTTCACTGCGACTTTGTTACAAGTGCTCTTCTCAAAGGCCAGTTTGACTTCTCCGCAGGCACCACTAACACGAGAGCACAGCTATGTCAGTGCTTACAAATACTCGTCAAAGATCTGTGTAACAAGTACAGACAAATGAAAGCATTGTATTACACACAGTCTGGAGCTGCTGCTTTCTAGCTTTCTAAAATATGCCTCTTTCAGGAAGCGTTCAGCAGTTAGGAAGTCTGTTTAAATAGCAAGTGTTGTCAAGGGCCACTCATTCAGAACTGCAGGAGTAAATATGCAAAGCGACAGGTCTGTTGGCACCAAGGGTAGGGGCAAATATGACAGACAGGCTCTGTCAGCATTTCCCTCACCCAAAAGCATTTAGGGGAAGAGAACCTAGGAAGGGTTCTCTCAACATCAGATTGCACAAATCTGAAGAACAGATACGACAGCACTTGTGTTTTTACTAAATAGCAATTACATTGCAGAAAGAAATTCTTGTATTTCCCACTCGGATTTGTCTCTGCTCAACCGTTCACCTCCAAATTCTTCACTGACCAACTGTCTCCAAAAGAGAAAAAAATAGCCTCCTCTTAAAATAGCCTCTCTCTCCTTTTTCCTGGACAGTTCTTTCCCCTTCTGCCTGAAGGCCTCAACAGTGATGCTGTAGAAATCTGTATTCCGAGATAAAGCTCTTCCTTCTACTTCCAGTAACCGAGTAAATTAATATACAAACTTTAAAAACTTTCTAAGAATTTACAAACTTTATTATCTTCTACAAAACAAAACAAAAACTGGTTTTCACCACTGATGGCAGGTTACAAACCCCAAGGCAATTACGGGGATGAAGCCAAAATTCCTGTTTAAAGTTGTTGCAAAGAACAGGTTTACTGAGGTGTTAGCATTAATTTTTCTTCTTTTTTCTTCTAAAACAGCAGCTCAATTAGAACTGGTAACAATTGCAGAACAAGGCACTGACAATGGTAACAAAGTCAAACCTTAATACTGAGGGAAAAAGGATGCTTACCTTCCCAAAGTCTTTGAAATGATATATTTCTCTCTCAGTTCTCTAGGAAACGTCATCTGATCATCCACCGTAAGATCAGAAAATACAAACACTGGGAAGACAAGTGGAAATCATTTTTCTGTTATTAATTTTAAAATTTTGTTGTAAGAAACAAAGCTATTTTCCCGAGCTTTTATAGTCAACAACATGACTGAAAAAATGCCTGCTTGAGGAAAAACTAAACATATGCTATAAATTACATCAGCTATGGGGTAGCAACGTGATCTTATTACTGAAAAATTACATTTTGGTATTACATTCATAACAATCCTTAACCAATTACCACCACACTTAGATAAAATGGGCAAAAATTTCAATGTCCCAGCAGGGATCAAAAAGAATTAACAATCAAGAAGACAGCATCTTAGTGGAAAAGCAAAGACAAAGAAACAAATGCCCAGGTCTGCTAATTTTTAAGATGATTTTCTATTTGTTATGCAGCATCCCGTTAGGTATCTGGGGGGATTTTGAACTTCTCTTCAATAGTCTGTCTCCCCTGTTCCCACCATCACATGCATAGCTACTGAAGCCCAAAAGCATTTTTAAAATAGGAAAGCAACTACAGAAGTTTGTACTCTAGTAAGGTGGTATCTGATGCAGATTCCTCTCAGCTTTCTTTTTTAGTTTTTTTCTAGGGTTGATGTGGATATGGGTAATTTTTATGCAAGTACTAAAACATCTATTCATAGCTGTGTTTTAACAGTCCTCATGAAGCAGCTCAGCTCCCAAGAAACACACTCAAATCAACACAGAAACAACCTCCTGGTCAACATGTGAAGAACCTACTTAAGTAAAAGTACATTTTACCCTTATTGGTCTGTAGAGACAGTGCGATTTCAGCGTTGTGAATCAGTGGAAGCCTCTTCCCTTTTCCAACAAGCTCTTTATTCACAAATGTTCCATTTGCACTATGGTCTTCAATGTAGGCAACATAGGAATTTTTTGGACCCATTTCCTCAAAGAGAAAGAAAATAATAAAGATGAAAGTAAAGAAGAAATGACTTCACAGTAAAGACATGACAGACTAGAAATTTACTATTGTTGGCTCAAGAAATGAGACTACTGAGGTTATTTCATAAACCAGGTGAGTGGGGCATTGCCAAGAGTAGTGTTAAAGGAGTCAACACTGAAGATGCTTTGATATCTTTAGGATTTCTGCTCCCAAGTCACTTGTTGAATTATGCCAAGACAGAGAGACAGTTAACCTTTTCAGCACTTACCCTGAAAATTCGGAAGTGCTTCTTGCTATAGTTTTCGTAGAAGCCAGTCTCATACAGTCCTAGCTTAGAAAAACTGTAATCACAGCTTTTGTCTCTCCCAAACCAGTATTCCTCATTCACACAGTCTGGAAAGGAGGGGAAGGTACAGCAGAGAGAGAACACAACATTGCAGGAAGTTAATAACTATGGCACTATAGAATGATGCCAGATGGTAGAGCAGGATACCAGAGACAAGGTTCTTCCCCTACAATCAAGTTTATTTGTCTTAATTCAGACAAAGCAGTATTGACAGCTTGGGAAATTCCTTAATAATTTTACCCTCTTTATGCTCTTAATAATTTTGCCCTCCTTAGCAGTAGTAGTTTTCAGTTCACCTTCAGCATAGACTCATAGACCCATATGATAATAAAGTAAGTTATAAAATGGAAAAATGAAGCATGTAACAACAAACATGAACACCCTATAATTTCTCTAAGTCTAGGGAATCTGTGTATCGAAATACTCAATATAAACACTGGGATGTATAGAACAAAACATTATTGCAAAAGTTGCATACCTAAATTTGCTTGTACTTAATTTAAAAATGAGAAGACACTGCTCTCTAGCAAGATGCTCAGAACTTTTCTGAGGTCCTACAAACAAACCAAGAGGTTTGTTACAGTATGCACATACCACAGTTGCTGAAACCTTTTGCAAGTGCAAAGAGTCGACCCCACGGCTGAGGATCCAGCTCTTCAGGTTCCTCAGGGATGGACGGAAGCTCCTGAGTCGGAACGGTGTCCAAAGAACTGAGGGTCCCAGAACTTGAGGAAGACTGACTAGTACTCTGTGACCCACTGGAAGAGGAACTCTGTGACGACTGGCCACCTTGAGTCTGCTGCACTTCACTTTCAGTCTCTCGGGACATGTTGGCTTCAAAGAGGATGTTAAAAATAACTGTTACTACAGCAAAGTAAAAGTGGCAAGCATTCACACTCAAGTCCATTCGCAGGCTTCAAAGTAAAACTTCCAACCAAAGAGTGCATGTGTGGGTTATACGTAAATCCCCAGGAATTTTGCAAACCAGGATGGTTTTCTTTCTAAAAGGGAATGTGGGGCGGCCTCTGCTGGTTCTAAAACAGAAACAACCCTTATTCCCAGATTGCTCCCGAGGACTTCAGGGCTCGCACTGGGTCACACAGGCAGGGGCTGCGCTACGACAGAGCATGCCCGCATGGAGCAGGGATCACGGCCGGTCCCAAACACAAAGGGAAAAATAAGAACTATGATGTATATAAGAAAATGACGTGCATTTTCTTGAAGGCGCCCAACAGATTTGCCACACCTACACACAATGAAAGTACAAAAGCTTGACAGACACCCACCACAGCCCCCGGCAGCTGCTGGCGGCAAGAAACGGCAATCGCCTCCCTGCCCCGTTACAGCTCGGGAATTATCAGCGCGTCTTTCCTCCCTCCCCACTTAACAAACGCTCCACCAGCCAGCCCAGCCCTACAGTCGGCGTCCTCAAACACATCCGCGTTCACCGGGGCTGCTGGAACGTCCATGAGCCTTCCAGCCTCTGGGATCGCTGGCACTCATCCCTCTGCTTCCTTTCTCGGCTCACCATCTGTGTTACTGGGGTTTTAGCTGGTTGCCATACCGTTCGACGTATAACGCAGGCTAATTTAAATCTCCTTATCGATTTGCTACATTTCATTACGAGCCAAAAAACCCACAACAGCTCCTAAGTTACTTCCCACGTCCCATTTTCTACACGTGCTCACAGACACAGGCGAGGCCCTCGGGCTCGGACCGCGGCCCTTTGCAGCGGTGCTGGCGCGGCCACCCGCGGAGGGAGCAGAACCATGGAATCCTTTGGGTTGGAAAAGACAGAGGCCATCGACTCCAAGCGCTCATCCCCAGCACCGCCAGGGCCACCACTGACCCCGTCCCCAGGTGCCACATCCACACGGCTGTTAAAAGCCCTCCAGGGATGGTGACTTCACCCGTGCCCTGGGCAGCCTGTGCCAAGGCTGGGCAGCCCTTCCCACAAGGGAATTTTCCCTCATATCGAACCTCCACCTCCTTCTGAACAGCTCCCGGACGCTCGGACGGCGGAGCCGGGCCGGCGCGGACGGGACCCCGGGGCGGCACCGCCGAGCTCCCGTTCACTCAGCGCCCGGCCCGGCCCGGCCCGCCCTGCCGTGCCCTGCCCGCCCGAGCACCGCGGCCCCGGGACCCAGCGGCGCCGCGCGACCTTCCCAGGAGAACCAGCGAGGAGCGAGCAGGGAGCGGCCCGCGGCGGAAGAGGAGGGCAGGGGAGGGGAGAGCAGGTCAGGGCAGGGCAAGGCAAGAGCGGAGCGCGGGGCCGGACGGCCGGAGCGGGCCCCGAACTCACGGCTCACGGGGTTCGCGCCGCTCGCGCCAGTGCCGCGGTACGCGCGCGCCCCGGGCGGAGCCAATAAGGGGCCGCGGCGCGGGGGCCGCCGGGAGCGGGGCGCGATGCGGGCGGCGCTGCGGGCCCGGCTCGGGTGGGCGCGGCGGGCGCTGCGCGAGGCCGCGCCGGGCCGCGCCCCGGGGCCGCCGTGCTGGAGCTGCGGCACCGCGCTCGCCGGCACCGATGGCACCCCGCGCTTCTGCCCCGCCTGCCAGGCCCTGCAGCCGCCGGCCCCGCGGCCCGACCTCTTCCGTCTGATGGACTGGTGAGTGCGGGCGGGGCGGCCGCGGGCCCGGCCGGCCGCGGGGCTCACCCGCCTTGTGTCTCGCAGTGACCGCTCCTTCCGCATCGACGTGCGGCAGCTGCAGCGGCGGTTCCGGAGCCTGCAGCGCGCCGTCCACCCCGACCGCTTCGGCCAGAGGCCGCCGGTGAGCGCCGGGCCGGGCGGGGGTCCCGGGCGGGGGGGCCGGGCCGGGCGGGGCCCGCGGGGCTCGGTGATCGCCGGGGGAACCCGCCCTTCGCCTTCGGTCCCAGCGCTGAGCCCCTGCCTCTCTCCCGCTCGGGGAGTGCAGGGACTCGCCTGTATTTGTCTCCCGGCGCTTAGAAGAGACTCTGTCATGGATTTGCGGTGGAGGAGGATGATGAGGGGCCGCTGCGGCTCGTCAGGTCTTAGCTGAGTGCAGTGACGCTGTTCCCAGGTCCACAGAGCCCTCAGTGTCACACACGGACTGGTGTAGGGACGCTGGTTTTCCGCATGTAACAAAGTGTATTCTGCCACTTGTTATTAACTTCAAATTCTTTGTCATCCACTTGCAGAAAGAGCAGTATTACTCTGAGCAACACTCTTCCCTGATCAACAAGGCCTACCAGACCCTGCTGAACCCTCTGAGCCGGGGCCTCTATCTAGTAAGGTCTCCATTAGGTGTTATCAGTGTCCCTGTAACTAACCAGAGGGGCTGGGGGTGCTGTGAGGGACCGGACCTTCCACTCCATCCTTAACGTGCTGATTCACATTCCTCTGAAGCAAAGGATGACCAGGGACTGAAGGGAGACCAAAAACAAGCTTGTCCAAAAATTAATCAGCTTATCATCACATTTGCTGCTCACATTACACTTTTTTTTTCCCACGTCACATGTGTTTGGCCAGGGCTGCTCATATGGAATTTCAGTCTGGCAGCCTTTGTTATATTTTTTGACTTGCTGATTTTTATGGTCAGCCTGTGTATGGAGTTAATTTTCAGACTGATTCTGTTTATGCACCTTTCATGTAATACACGTTTATCAGATAAGAATCTGAGTGTGCCCCTCTAAAAAACTTAATAATTCCCGTTGAATTAGATGTAATAGTGCTTATTTTCAAATTTCCATTTTCTCTGCCAGCTGGAGCTGAGTGGAGTGGAGCCAGCACAAGAGACAGACTGTGATGCAGACTCGGCGTTCCTCATGGAAATCATGGAAATTAATGAGAAATTAGCAGAGTCCAAAAATGAGGATATCCTTGAAGAAATTGAAACTTTAATTAAAGGTAGGTTATTATTTGAGGGATTTGTACAGGACTAATTTATATCTTCTGTAACACAAGAGTCTTTTTGAAAGCTTCTGTCTGTTTTGGTGTGTTTCTTGTAGTGTCTCTTCAACTTGTGTAAGTCTGCAATCGATTCACTGTAGGTGCTTCTGCCCTGGTCCCCTTCCCCAGTATTGTCTTTACCTATTTATGCACCTAAACATCACATCTGGCTTGAGAACATCTGTATAATAGAACCTATTCTGATGGCAAAATAAGTATATATAGACTATAAAAAGGAATTTACTCAATCTTTGGCAGATCAGGGCAAGTCAGCTGTTCCAAAGAAAGAATCTCTCAAAATGAAGTTGAATAAAATGCTTGTCTGATGATATTAAATAATGTCATTTACACAGACATTGTATTTCTTTCACCTTCTTTAACTTACCAACCATTATATTAAGGGTTATTGTCCTTACACAAGCAACTTTCTTTTTATGTTGTCAGTGATACCAGAATATTTGGTTTACTGATATATTTAATTGTTGACAATAACAAAGTGTAGTGTGCCAAAAGCAATTAGAATAATTAGAATAAAAACTGAGTAGAGCAGGAGAAAATCAACTGTAGCAGGGTAAACTGATAGACCAAAAATAAGTTAGATTGCTGGGAAGTTACTGACCATTGACGGGCATTGGAATTCCTGTCTGTAAACCTCTTTAATTTGAAATTATAATTAAAACATTGACAGCAGTATTATGAAAAACTCTCTTAGCTCCCAAAGACTGAGACCAGTAATGAAATTTCCCACCGCAGGCAGTTGGAATGCAGTGGTATAAAATATACTAAGTATGTAACAAAAAGTGAACTAAATAATTTGTTTTGCAGTTAAACAGGAAGAACTGACCAGAGAGCTGACTGCAGCTTTCGAAAGAGGTACCTGTTTTTATGAAGTATTTAGCTCCCGTCAAATGCTCAAAACCCCACGTTCTCTCACTGGCAAATATTTCCTGAACTATAGAACAGAAATACTACATCAACAAGGGTTCTTTGTGTGGTATTTAGAATAAGAACTTCTAAACTGATCTTTCTGCTGATTCAGGAATTCAGGACCTCACATTAAAAACAAAATCCAGTACAAAAGTTCCATTTAATTAATTTTGCATCAAAATAATCACTTTAAGTGGGAATGCAGATGGTAAGAAATTGTGTCTTTCCCAGAATACTGTGAAGAACACACTCTTAATCAAACTTAGACCTATTCTGAGATTTTACACTGGAATTTGGGAGATGTTGTCCTGCAGCCTTGGAGCTGCAGCAGAGCAGTGGGTGCTGTTCGGGAACGATTCCATTACCATGGAAGCTGTGCAGCTGGAAAGAAAGTCCTGATGCCTGTTCAGCCTAAGGTTTTGGGGGTTTCCTGTGCAAAAACCAACATAACTTTATTCCACAACCAATGAACTGTTCTGAATCTGGGAAGAAGAAACCTTTGTATTTCTTTGCCAGGTCTCAGAAAGCTGCAGCTGTGAGGGGTGGGGTGTTGTAACTGTAAACATCAAACACAAAGTGGTGCTGGCTGGGCCTGCCTGTGAGGAGTTACAGCCCGTTATAATCTGTTACTCTGTGCTATGAGGAGGACTGTGTTGCATCTGTCCTTGTCAATAGGTAATAAAATATCTTTCCCCTCCAATTGTTTAATTGAGGAGAAATTGTTTCAATATCGGGTTTGGAATTGGCACTGTCCAGACTGAACCGCTACTCTTTTGCATTTTTCAGTTATGTCAGTTGGTCTAAATTGCACACATTTAAAACAAAAATGTTTGTCTTGCCCAGTGGCTACATCAGTACTGCAGCCACTTTACAGAAGTCATTAAAGGGTATTCGTTCACATTTCTTTTACAAATTTTATATTGTTACACGTGTCTTGGAACATCTGAGTTTTGCTCCCAAACCATCCCAGATTAAAATAATAGGCAATGGGGTTTTAATAGTGTCTGGGCCCTTGCAGCTCACAGCTCTTAGTAGTGAAACAGCTACTGTCATTGAAATCTTGAGAGTCATTTTGAAAATGCAAATCCAGCTCTCCCTCTGTTAAATGTTTATTTCATTTCAGATGATCTTCAAGAAGCTAAGAAGCTTCTAGGAAAAATGAAATATTTTGCAAACTTAGAGGATAAACTAAAGACCAAGAAGATCCCTTCCTGATGCTGCCTCCTTTGGGATTAATAGTTAATGTTATTTTCAATTAAACAGTTATCAAAATCAGACAAATGGTGTTTGTTTCCTGTGTTTCCATTAGAAGCTTTAATTCTGAGAGGAGGAAAATAAATGTAAAATGCAGTGCTTGCTGCAGCACTTCAGTAAGAGATGGCATTTGAAAATGCTTACAACCAGGAGAAGTTGTACTGGGTAAGGTGGGCCACTGTCCTGGCAGCTACAGGTATGGAAACAAGGGTCAGAAAGGCACACAAACATCGTATATAAGTGAGATTTTTTACTTACTGAAATATGGAGAATGTATTTTAAGTTGAGAAAGAGTCCTGGACAAAAATGCTAGAGATAAGCAGAAAGCTCATTCAGTATGTCCTGCAGGCTTTCTGTAGTCCCCTTGTGTGTGTTCTCTCACACCATCTTGAAAATTCTTATGAGGTAAAAAGTATTTAGTTCCTGTCATCTGTGCTTTCCATTACTGAATGCTTTTGGTATGTTGATCTCAGTCTGACGAGAACTGACCTTTAAAACTAGAAGAGGTTTTACCCTGTTGCATAGTTTAAAATGCTATGTTAAGATGCTAGGTTAGGGGAAAAAAATAAACCCAAATTCAAACCCCAGAAACTGTTTTATTAGGATACAAGTCTTTATTACAAATACTAGTAATTCAGAGAGGTGCTATACCATTGTTGTACAGTTACAGTAGTAGGACTGGGTAAAGAGTGAAAAATGGCAACTAAATACCCCCATTTCTACATAAACTGGAATATTTCAAATACCAGTTTTCAGCAGGTCAATTCTTGTTTGGGTTTTAACAAGAACTCAGTGTTTTACTCAGTGAACCATCTGGATGCGCCCGATGACCCGAACTGAAGATGGGGCTTTGAAATGCAAGAAGAGCCACTGAATTATCCACAGAAATCTGCCAGGGGCATTCACTGAACATCCTCCCTGGCATTTCTGCGTCCCTACAGCATCAGGTTACAGTTAAATGTCAAGTCTTCTATGGATAACATATAATATGTTGCTAATAGTATTTCAGCAATACATGTTTTAACAGCATTTCAGCAATATTAAGTTGCCTTTAGTTACACTTCCCCTAAATATACGGGAGAATTTAATAAGGCATTTGATCATGTATTACACTCCTAATTTAGTTCATAATTCTCACTGAAGTTCTGTTACAGCCATAAAATTATGAAGGACTTTTTAAAAATTCATCTTGAAGTTGTGTTCTTTCATAAAGCTCTGTCTCCTTTTTTCTGGTATTTCTTCCAAAATTAAGCTTGTGAAATTCCTTTTTGATTTCCAGAAAAGATTTGTTTTTTGTCTCAGGAATTACAAGGAAGATGAAAGCAGCAACAAAGGAGCACTCCAGTAAGAACACCAGAAAACAATACTGCTTCAGTCCATTCTGAAAATGAATTGATTGCAACATATTTCAAGTGTAACAGCAGGTTTGAGAAACAAGCAGCTTTTTATTTCCATTCACACCTAACAGTGCTGCTCAGATATTTTTAATAAAGTCATGCAATCTATCCTTTACATGTAACTTTTTAAAATTTTATTTTTTTTAGATAAAAGACTATCAAGTGCTGTGCAATAGACTGGGTAGTCTTTTATTTGAAAAAAATAAGATAAGCCATTTGAACACTAAACAATTCACAGTCTAGGGAAAAACTCAACATTTGCTTTTTAGCTGTCACATATTTTAAGATTATATGATTTACCTTTTTCTGGAATATTAACATTTTTCAGTGCTATAAATTAAAAAAAAACAACTGTCTTACTGAGAAACAGAGCTCAACCACAAAGAAAGAACAGGCAGACCCAAATACCCTGCTGCATGATGTTCCTGCAGGTTTTGTTCTCAAGAGCAAGTGCTAAAAGATACAAAACTGGACATGAAACCCTCTGTTGCCTTTCCTAATAATCTGATCACAAAACCCTGTCAGTTCAGTGAGCTCTCAGAGGTGGCCACCAGAGGTACTACCTTGATTTTACTCTGCCATAAAAGCACAAGGCACTGTTAAGAAATGTCTTATCTGAATCTCAATATCTGATTTTTTCTTTTTTTGATACTTTTTTCATTTTTTTAATCTGAACATGAGAATTACCCCCCATGCATTCCTTTTAATTTTCATTTATCATGTTTTATTGTTTCTGTGAGATCTAAAAAATATTTTAAGACTGAATGAATCTAGTCAAACTCATTTGAGGGGCAGTGTGCATCCTGTTCAAGTGTCACTGAGTAATATATACAAGTGCATATAATACAATATAAGCACTGGGATGGAACCTGGGAGCAGATGAAGTGGGCGGTGCAACCATCAGGAAATTGTGCTGTGCATACTTACCACTATAAAGGGAAAGAGCATTCCAATTGTGAAGAAACTAATCCAGCTAAGAGTCCCTCCAATCATGTAAGCAGCAGGACGTGAGGACTGTACAAATAACTCAGCTATCAGGGTGTTGGTTATGCCACCTGGGAATGGGTCAGAAAGAGAACTAAATTGTGCTAAATGTCCACCTGTGGTATGTCTAATACCAGAAAAAAATGAGTTGCTTTTGAACGTGCCACTAGCTGATCTATTATGATTCCTAACAGTGCACTTCTGAGGCTACTGCCCTGGCAGGAAGGAGCCAATAAAACAGCTGCATTTCAGCAACACTGCTCAGGGAGCAGGGCCCCATCTGAGGGGTCACAGCTTGTTTCTTGCTCTGTGAATAACTCCTGTGTTCTCAAGGCCAGAACTAAGCCCTCCCTCCCACATAGCTGCCCCAGAAGGGTGCATGGTAAGCCTCAGTTTTGGGCTACAGGATGGGCTCACTTGGGTTCCTTGGGCAGAGCACCAGCAGCTGCACCGTGAAGACGTCCTGCCTGGTGAGCACAGCAGCACTGCCAACACCCCCTTTCCCTCCCAAACCTTCCACCACTTGGACACACATTCCTGTGCAGTACCTGGTCCCAGCCCAAAGCTCAAGATGAAGGCAAATATACACATCATGCTCACGTAAGGCACCCAGGAGTATAGGTCCTGGAACAGAAAAGAATGAGAAGGTTTAGTTCAGATTCTGATAAGCCAGTTTTAAAGTTCAGCTTAACAGTTACATTTCCTTTTGTATGTTACTGAAAGTAAGACAGCAGTCACTCGTGACTGTTTACAGCTAATTCATTTAACAGTACTGCTTTGGAGAATTTAAATAGTGTTCATTCAATAATTTTTACTAAATTGTATCACAGAATCACATAATCATAGTTATGGTTTGGGTTGGAAGGGACCTTAAAGATCATCTAGTTCCCACCCCCCTGCCACGGGCAGGGACACCTCCCACTAGCCCAGGTTGCTCCAAGCCCCGTCCAACCTGGCCTTGAACACTTCCAGGGATGGGGCAGCCACAGCTTCTCTGGGCAACCTGTGCCAGGGCCTCACCCCCTCACAGGGCAGAATTTCTTCCTAATACCCAATCTAACCTACTCTCTTACAGTTTAAACCCATTCCCCCTTATCCTGTCACTTTTCACTCACTACAATCACATCATGTAATAGGAATGAGTCCTTTGCACCTGGTAAGTCAGAGACAAGGTTAGAACAGTGCACCAGAGGGTCATGAGGAGATAACCCCCGATGATGAGGTATCTTCTTCCCACGTAGTCTATCAGTAAACCCTGTGGATAAGACATAATCTTCTGTTAATATACTGATCTCATTTTTACCAATGTTCTTCAAGAAGCATCATTACTCTCTGTGCTGGGAGGTAGAACAAATTGCTCCTTACACAGGAGAGGGCTGTGAGGCATTCACAAGCTCCAGTGCCGAGTGTCACATACGGGATTTTCTCAGCTGAGATCCCAGCTGCTTCAAAAATGTAAGTTGCATAGAAATAAATCTACAACAGAAAAAAAAAAAAAACAATGAGACTTACCTGGTAGTTAAAACACTGACTGGAAACAAAGTCTAGTTCATACTAAGCACACAGTCCAATGTATTTTATATTGCGAGTTACTAATCCCACATAAGCACCAAAAGGAATGTGTTAAATTCATGTCTCTGTAAGTATATTGCTATCAGAGAAGCAAGTAAAATTATTCAACTTATAATGCTTCATATTCCTAAACCAGACACAAAGACATAAGCTGATCCACATTTATTTACTTTTTCAGAAGAATGTAAACACAACTATTGAGTCATTCTTTAAAGAAATTTGCATACCAGAAACACAGAAATGAGAAAAAAAAATTAAAAAAAAAAAGAGAAACACTGAAATAATGCACGGATATTCTTTCCCACTTATCCCATTTCTCTGAGCTTCTCTAAGCGGATCCTTTGTGTTAACAAATGGCTGAAAAACAGATGGGAATCAAATCATTCTTTAAGCTGTTAATTCATGTGAAATCTTACAGCATTTATCCCGCTGAGCTGTTGGCCCATGGTCATCACAATCACGGTGATGAGCTGCCATCTCACACCACGGTCGGTGAATAACTGCCAGGGCTTCTTGGGTTTCTCCCCATCTAAGGCAGAAGATTCCCGCTGGATGTCTTCCATCTCCCTTCGATACTCTGAAGAGCCATGAAATCGCTTCAAAGCTAAAAATAGAAAAAAAAACAACTTCCTTTATGTTTACCTATTAACCACAACTCCTGGAAAATCATCTCTTCCCACAGTGACCAGGCTTTTGCTAGGATAGGAAAACTTTGGTTTGTGACTTGTTTTTTCCTTGCTGGTTTTTCAACATTTTTTGCTGTGGTGGATTTGGAGGATTCTGTGGCGTTCCTTTATTTTTTTTTTTAAGAGGAATATCTGACCTTGAAATATTCACCAAGCAAAATATTTTATATCTCATCCCCAAACAGTCTTTCCATTAAAGGACAGTCTTACCAGTTTGAAGTGTTTTGCTTATATTCTAGGCAGAAATAAAACAAATCTCTTGTGATATTTAGTTTCTTCTTGCAGTATAAAGAAAATTGTGTAATTTCAGGATAAAAAAAATCACAACTAATCTGAATTTCTATCTTTCAAACTCTAGTAGTGTGTGGGCTTCATTTGCTCCTTTCTGCAGAACTCAAAGCTATGAAAGTACAGTTGTTTCTTGAGTAGGGTTTGAATAAAAGGAGAGCAATCATAGATCTCTCAAAGGTAAAGGGAAAAGTTTAAGCTGTCATAGTTCTCTCACATGATATAAAAAGGGAAAATAAAGGTATTTAAGAGGTAACTGTTCAGAAAACGGAGGATTTAGGAGTTTTCTGCTCAAATAACCAATGGAGCACCCTTTTTCAGTAAAAAGCTCTCCAATTTTTCAGCTACTTATGCCATCTCCTTTTTAGATTCTTTCCAACTATTTCTTACAGGAAAAGTACAACACTACCACTGAAGGGAAGAAAATATCTGATGTAATTAATACTTAATCTGTGACGTGACCTGAGAAATGAGCAATCCAGTGAGAGGTTCAGTAATTCACAGATGTTACTTTGTCCAAGAGAAAAAGTATGAAACCTTTAGAAATTTCATTAAGGAGTAACAAAACATGAAGTTACATTTGAAACAGGATAATAAAGTTTTGCTCACAATCCATTACAGGCTCCGGAGTTCCATAATCCCTTTTTCCACATAAGCTCACTGGGGGAAAAACATGGGCCAAAAAGCACTAGGTGATATAACTGTGCTGTGTAGATGAAGATAAAAGGAGAATCTGGAACCCAATATACTCATTGTACCCTTCTGAAGACACAGAAAGTATAGATGCTCTATATTACCTTTGGCACAGCTCAGCTCATCACCTCTGTCAATAAGAAGGTATCTGGGACTTTCAGGAAACCACGGCAGGAATAAAAGTTGGGCAAATGCTGGAAAACAGCTGCTGGATAGCAACAGAGGCCAGTACTTTTCTTCACCCAATAATTCCCTGTGTGAAAAAGAAGGTGTGGATAAAGAAGGTAAAGAAATATAATAATCAGCTACTGGTTACTATTAATGCAGTCTCTGCTCTTGGAACTTAAGATCCAGCTGGATGAAGGCCCAGCAACCTCCTCTGATTTCACCAAGGACAAAACCAGAGGTAGTGCTACGGCACAGAAATGATAAGTGCTTTGCTCCCATTTGTGAACATTCACTGTCTCCAGCAAGAAACTGGCAGAAAACATGAACTCAGCACAAGTGTACCTGTTTTATTGATGCTGTTCTGGCTGACTCATCTAAACTGAGACTACTTCCCTAAGGAGACAGTGCTGATGGCTGGCAGTTGTAGGAATAAGGTGACCAAAGCAGGGTTTTTTTCCTCCAGGGAGACCCTCTCTGTGAATTCTAATGCTACAATGGCACAAGGAATGTTTTGCAAGGAGCTGCAGGAAACTGGAATTCTTTACATGGGAGTAACACAAGACAGGGGAAAAAAAAGTATTTCTAACCTCAAACCAATTATTTGTCCTGTCAGAATCCCCCCAGTCAGAAAGATGGAAGTCCCCATGGCCAAGCCACCTCTTAGATGTTTTGGGGCAATCTCCCCAATATACAAAGGCTGCACACAGAACCCAATACCTGCAAGTAAATGGAAGAACATTTTCCTATCAATAGAAATTGCTTTGCAAAGAGTTACTAAACCAAAACATGAAGGAAATCAGACTTAGGTAATTTCCTATTAATTTATCTGCCTTCAGATTCCAAATTAGACTACAGAACATTTTTTGTCATAAGCACATATCATAAAACCTAAAGAATCAGCAGTAACAATAATTTATCATTCACCATAGTTTATTGAGAGTAGGAATAGGGAATCATTCACCTGAATTTATGCCAATCAAAAACCTTCCAGCAATCAGTAACTCAAACAATCCTGTAGGATAACTGAGCCCCATTAAAATGGAAGCTAGTATTGCTATAATATTATTCATCAAAAGAGCTCCTTTCCTAAAGAGGAGGAAAAAACAAAAAACAACAAGAATGAAACAAACAAAAAACACACCACCACAACCAAACCATTTGAAACAAACAAACAAAAAGAAAACAATAAAAAAAATAAAATTAAAAAAAAAAAAAAAAAAAAAAAAAAAAAACACTAAAAAAAATCAACCAGACATTAAGGAAATCTACAAAAATATGTTTCTTAAAAAGTTTTCCTTTCTGGTAATATGGGAAAAAATGGGCTTTATACTGAAGATATGTGCTATTTCCTGGAAACCCAAACATCTGATAAAATGCTTGTGTTTTTTAAAGTGTCTAAACATAATAATAAGGCATAAATATGACAGAATGCCTGACAAGATAGGAGCAGGGTTTGTTCATTTACACACATGAAGTGCAACAGATGAGGCAGCATGTCCTTACTGGCACAAAGGCTGCAAATGGGGGGGCACACCCATGTTTGCAAACATGTTCTCCTACTCAGATTTCAGTAAATGTTATGGGAAGACTAAACTGGGAGGTTATATAATTCAGGCCTCATCCTTTAAAGTCACATTGGAATAAACTGTAAAACTCTGCTAGAAAACTGTTTTGAAGTGAAAAACATGTATAGGTACTCAAGGTGCTCTTTTCTCCCGCTCTTTTTCTGTTTATTTTCTTTGTATTCCCGTAAGAAGGTGGGAAAAGCAAACATGCTGCTATATGCCTGCTGCTGCACTGACCTGCCCAGGCGAATTGCCATGCTGCCTCCCATCAGGGCTCCACACAGGCCTCCAAGGGAAAAGATAGAAGCAATGACAGACCACAGAAAAGTCAGCAAATCTGGATTTAGTTCCTTGTGATAACGACTGGTCCAGGTTTCGTTTAAGAACTTGTGTATATGCTGCAGTAGAAAAGAACGATGAATGTGTAGCATTATGTGCAAGCCCTACAGCACCCCGCAAATAGCTTGCACCCCAATCCTGAAAACCAATTCTGGGAGCCAACAGAAGGTATCATCTTATTTGTATTATATTAAAAACACCAGTGTTTAGCAGAATCTTCCTTGACTGCAACACCGTTTCCTACTCCTCACACACATCAAAGGCCACTGAGCAGCTCTGCTTTGTGCCCTGGCTCGGGTTGGCTGTGCTGCACCACAGGAGAAACACCACCCTGCACGAGGGAAGGGACGGTGGATGATTGGTCCTACTGATTTTAGGAACATCTCAGAGCACAGAGGCCTTACAATCTAAAACATTGTACAGCCAGGAGACTCATTCTGACACTTGATCTAAATCTTCCTGCCTTTGTGTAATCCAACAAGTCATAATAAAATCCCTTTTGCAACTCTAATAATACTCCACTTTTCTTAAGAGTGTTCATGTGTCAGAACTTTGAAACTGTTATTCTAAATGCTTGGTCTCCCAAAATCTGTGTTTAGAAACTCCTGAACTGACATGTATCTGTAATAAGAGACTCCTGTTCTTTGCCAGCAAACGAAGACTTTACAGAAGGACAAAGTTCCTGGACTGTCCCTCTGTTTCCAGCATATTACATGTTCTTTCACAAACAGCTTCTTTTAAGCTTTGTAAAAAGCATACAGTGTTATAGCAAATTCAGTCTTCACAGTGTCACAAGCAAATCAATCAGCTGATGGTAGAAAATTATATCCACTGCTTTCACAAGACCATTTGCTCAGATCCTCTTGAATCATCCACAAAATAGGCAAAATCCTTGAGGCCCTGGCAAAGAATCACATGTAACAAGTAGATGAAAATATACCTACAAGTTACTCAGCCACTACAGATGCAACTTTTTGACTCCCTAAGATGATCTTTTTCAGTAAGCTGCCTTACAATGGACAACTATCTTTTTCCCCTTCTATCCAGTGACAAGAGGTGTGGGAATGGTTCCAAGCTGTGTCAGGGGAGGCTTAAACTTGATATTAGGAGAAACAGTGATGACATCCTACAGAAACACTGGAACAGTCTTCCTAGAGAAGTGGTCAATGCCCCAAGAGCATTTGGACAATGCCCTTAGTAACACCCTTTAACTTTTGGTCAGCCCTGAAGTGGTCAGGCAGTTGGACTAGGCTGTCATCGTAGGTCCCTTCCAACTGAAAATGTTCTGTTCTATTCTATTCTTAATGTTCTGGGCTATTTTAGTCAAAGGCGTAACTGAAAAAGATATTTATTCAGTTAATCCTTCTAAAACATACTTAGCAGAGGTATTTATGCGGCCTATTTGGCACCTTTATCTGCCACAGAATACCTCTGACAGGAGGTACTCACAAAGAAATCCACATGAAACCCTTTGGGAAATCAACAAGTATCCTTCACATGAGAGGAAGCCTGTGTTGGTTCCCACTGCGATCGCAGCAGAAGCACATTTGGCCTCTTGGCTGAGCTAGAGAGGAAACAGCCCTGTGATCAAGAGATGAGCTTTTACCTGTGTGGGTGCATTGATAATGGAGACATTATACCCATACTGAAAGGTCCCTCCAATTCCAACAGCACAAACAGCCAGGAACAACGTCCAGCTGGGGAGCTAGAGAACAAAAGAAAGTGTGATGGGTATGAAAAAAGAGAGGTCCTTGAACACACAGGCATGTAATATCTAGGAGAAAATCGTGGTGAAATACATCATGTTTTTACTTTGGAACAGTGAAAATATTTGTTTAGAAAACTGCATGGACTCCCAAATACCTCCAGCAGGAGAAGCATTTCACACTGACTTCAGCCTTGATCATTAACAGCCTTTAGAGTTGCCACAATCACAAGTCTCCAGATTAAATCTAGGCAACATAACCACTGCAGGTTTTATTGGGAACTGAGGAAATGCTTTTTGCATGAGCCACACATCTCATGGTGTCTGTTTTTAATGAAAGAATGCAAGGACTGTTTATGTTTGGTGTTAGAGGCACAATGATTCAGTATAAGAATTAACCAAATCCCCATTTCTTTGACACACGTTTCGACCAAGATGTGAGAAATAACAATATTTTATTTCCCACTGCAAGTCCCTAAAATGATTACTCAGTGTCTGCAAATTGGCAGTTGCTAAGCCTTAGTATCTTAAATTACAACATATTGTTCACTGATAATAGTATTCAATCTGAAGTATATTGGCATGTATTTTTTAATTTTTCAATACTGATTACCTAGTTATATTCCTAAATCAGTATTTATAAATTAAAATTAATAGAGTCACAGATTCATCAGTTTTAAGGTAAATACAAATTGCTGTTATGATACGTTTAAATCTCAAAAGTCTAATTGGTCATAAAACATTATACTTTGGATGCGTCCTCTGGGTCAGAGATCTCCAGATCTCTGTACAGCGTTTGGTTATCTCATGTGGTGCTTTCTGACTCTACTTTTTACTGAATATGATCATACTAAAAATAACATCCAGTTCAAATGTCTAGCAACCCTTTCATTTAAAATTAGGTCCTAATTTCATCTCATAGTATCTTATTGTCTAACTTCAGCTGGACACAACGTCATCTCCTATACTAAAGGCACTTCAGTGATCAAATTTCCCCTTCCTTCATTTTTATAAATTTGAACTCCCTGAATTTTTCATTGTAAGGTATGTAGACTAACTCTTCATCATTCTCATTCTTGGTCCAGTTCCCAGAAATGCTGAGTTATTCCAGATACTATAGTGTATTCTGAAAGAGCTGTGTCTTTCCTAAAGATAATTCACCAAAACTTCCTTGCTTCAGGACTAAAACTCAGAAGTTGAAACTGATCTTAATAAAGTAAAATTTTCTTACAGTTTCCAACAGTAAAAAGTGTTTCTCAAAATTACAAGCAAAGCAATGAATCGAGAGTAATAAATAAGGGCTGCAGTGAGTATGGTAGAAAAAATAAAACTAGAGGAGGTAAATACTGGCACTGCACGCTCAGACTTTTCCGTTAACCAAGTACTGTAAATGTATTTTGTGTGTCTCATGGGTACAAGAAAAGACAGAAAATAAACAAACAACCCAAAATCATTAATATACATCACATAAGTTTTGATATGACAGATCTTTTGTTCTTCCTGCCCAAAATCAGCCAGCTCATTACACTGACATGTTGTCTCACATTAGAGTTTGGACCCTGATTTCTTGGAGAGAGCACAGACAACAGCCTCATCTGTTCTGTAAGCTACTGAACTCCTGACCATTTATAGGCACTTTCACCTCATCTCAGAAATACAACACAAACAAAATTCAATTTACATTCAACGTAAAACACGAGAATCGGAAAACGTGCTTTTATAGCTTCCATTGTATAACACAGCTAGGTGTCCAAGGAAAGCACAGAACTTTATAAGCCTAATCCCTAATGCTTTTCTATTAAAAGCTAACATGAAACATCAGCGCATTTCACATTTGTGCATCACTGCTAGAACTACCGACTCCCTGCAGGATCCACATTCTGAGGCCAGGACAGTTCTGCTTACCTTGCTGGGCGAGCTAGACCCTCTGAGCAGCAGCTGGTGCTCCATTCTGAGCGGGGGCTGAATTGGATTTCCTTTGCAAAATTTAGTAAGACTACATTACAGGAATAAAAGGTGCCAGAGAAATCAGGTTACTATTATATTAGGACATAGCTAGGTTTTGTTTGTTTGGGGGTTTTGGGGGGTTTTTGGTTGGCTTTTGGTTGTGTTGTTATTATTTTTGTTTTGTTGTATAGTTTTGGGGGTTTTTTTTGCTATCGGGACACTCCTCCACGGTGCAGAACTTTTCTGTGACAGGAACGTCCAACTTTGCTAAAGCCTCACAGCAGCCAGGGAGAGCTTTCCCACCTCTAACACCGCTGCACACGCACTGTCCCCCTCCAACTCCGCGCAGAACCCGCAGCCTCCCGCCACCAGAGACAAGAACGAGCGCTTACCGTGTGCCTCGGGGCCATCCTTCGCTCTCGCCGCCTCCCCGACAGCGCCTGAGCTCCTCAGCTGACCAGGATTTGGCTGCGGGGCCGCGCCCGCCCCGCCGCGGGGATTAGGCCGGGCCGCGGACAAGAGCGGGGCTGTCTCGGAGCTCCTCGGGGAGGGGGGGGTTGGGTCTCCACCGTCGTGGCAGGGGACCCACGGCCACGACAGGGCCCCCACGGCCACAGCGGGGACCCCGCGGCCCGCATGGCCACGGCCGGGACTGCGCCCCCCGGACTGCAGCTCCCACAGCGCCCGCAGCCTCCGCAGCGCCCGGGACTACAACTCCCACAGCGCCCGGGACTACAACTCCCACAGCGCCCGGGACTACGACTCCCACAGCGCCCGGGACTACGACTCCCACAGCGCCCGGGACTACGACTCCCACAGCGCCCGGGACTACGACTCCCACAGCGCCCGGGACTACGACTCCCACAGCGCCCGGGACTACAACTCCCACAGCGCCCGGGACTACGACTCCCACAGTGCTCGCGGATCCTTCTCCGATCGCGGCGAAAGGCCTGGAAAGGACGCGGGCTCTGGTGGCGGCTCCAGCTGCGGGCCCGGCCCGGGCCGGGTGAGCGCTGCGGGCGGGGGCGGTTCGGCGCGGGAGCGCCTCGGGCCGGTCCGGAGGGTCCCGCGGCGCGGCCCGTGGCGTTGACATGCGTTTTCTCCCCCGCAGCAGGAAATGGCAGCGCTCGGCAGATCCTTCCAGGGCATCCCGGCCGGCCCGGCCGTGGAGCTCCCCCCGGCTCCGGCCGCTGCCCCGGACCGCCACGGGCCGCAGCCCGGAGCCGGCGGCCACGGCCGCCTCCAGCCACCCGGGATGGTCATGGCAGGGATCGGAAACGACGGCGCCGACGGATCCTCCGGCCTCTGTCTGCAGAGCGGCTTCGACCTGGCCTCCCTGGCCGCGCTCGGGAGCCACAACGAGGGGCTGACGGCGGCCCCGGTGGGATCCTTCACCAAGAGCCGCAGCCAGTGAGTGCCAAACCCTTTCCCTCAGGGCCGAGGCCGGAGGGCCGGCAGTGTCAAACAGCGGTGCTTTGCGAGGCGGGGTGGAATTTGTTTCCTTCTAGCAGTATTTCACTGGTAGGCGATTAGAATTGTATTGCGCTTGTCTTAAGGCCCTGAAGCTGGCTAGTGCAGGATGAAGGAGCCTTCTAAAAGGCAAGAAAGGTGATCGACTGTACCAGCATATTCACATGCTTTTAAACTCATGTGGTTTTTTATTTATTTATTTTTAAACTTGTTCTTTCTCATATGTGAGCCCAAAACCCTTAAATTATTCTATAAAATGTTGTGTTGTAGTCACATTTGAGTATGTCCCTGTGATACATTGTACTAACAGATTCAAGTTGGATCATGTGTTGCTTCTTGAAGCAGTTGAATTTTAGCAAAAATGGATCTTGCCCCTCGTGGAAAAAAAAAAGTAACGTAAAGAACGAGAAATTAGCATGGAATTCTGCTCCGAGAACTGAGCAGTTACAGCTGCTTTTGACTTCCTTTGGAACAAAGTGGCCTTTATTGTCCAAAGTTTCCATTCCCTTTATGGCTGGTAATGTACTGCAACTGTTGCTCTTAGTTGCAAGTAAAATTTTAAAAGGGAGGAAGATATTGTTTGACAATGTCAGTGTCACTGGAAGATATGATTAGAAGCTAAATAACTATTTGTTTTTCTTTTGCAGTGTCTCTGTGCGCTATGGAAAGAAGCATAAGCTAGAAGAAGAGGCAGAAGGGTAAATTAATTTGTCTTTTATAGCCTGAAAAATCTTAATTTGCTTTTTGTTTTCTAAAACATCTGAGCACATCTCATCTACAATGCAAACAGGAAGGGAACTTCTATCATAGTTTCCATTTGGAACTCTTCTCCTGAACTGCACATGAACCTGAATCCATTTACCTAATCAGTTGTGTAGCACTGATTTTCTTGCATGGGTGCTCATGTTTCACTGAGAGCAACACGGTTTATTTTCTTTGTTGAGGTTGTGCTGCTGTAGTGTGTCAAAGCTGTTGAAATGCACATGACTTTCTGTAGGATTTCTTCTTTGACAGTTGTAAACTTACTTTGTTTCCTAGTTGTCCTGTGCGGAAGAAGAGGCTGACAGGAGCCAAAAATTGCCCTTTGAATCCCAACACTGAAGAATGGATTCTCTGTGCAGGTCAGCAGGCAGCTGGGGAGGTAGCAAGTCAGTGTGGTGGCAGCGGTCCTGAAACTGCCATGTTAGAAATTCCCTGTGAAGAAATGGATCAGACAATGGGGGAACAGCAATGCGAGGTTGCTCGCAGGAAACTTCAGGAAATTGAGGACAGGTAAATGCAGGGATTGAGTAGACTGGCTTTGCTGAGCTTTCCCTTTTCTGGTGGGAATTCAGGGGTAAATCTAGCACTTAGCAGTGTGATAACACTGCTGTGACTCTGAGGTGAACCTTCTGTTCAACTGATTTCTTTTTAAGCTACATATGGTCCTATGAGTCTTGGGGCTGATACTGTGATTTGAAATCAAGGGTGCTAGAGCAGAATATGCTGACTAAATAACCCCTGTTCACAGTCATTATGCAGCATCAATATATTATAATGGGGTGTAATGCTCTTCTGTGAGTATCCAGAGCTCAAATTTTAACCAGTTATCTGGTCAGACTTGAGCTCAGCTTTTTTTCAACCAACTGCAGCTTATTCTGTGATTAATACTTAAGGTAGATCTGAATTTGTCAGTGTAGAGAGTAGCATGAACCAGAGAGGTCTCTCTGCACATATGCAGTAAGGCTGAGGTTCACCTTGCTGATGGTGTGATGTGGGGTGATGGGGTGGCTATAGAGAGACTACTGCGGTCATTTAATAAATGTACTGTGTGTTCTGGCCCTCAAAAGATTTCTGGGAATGGCATATGTGTGTATCAGTTGATTGCAGCTGAACTAGTACTCTGGAATATCCAAAATGACCACTGCTAATGATTAGAAAAGCCAAAAGTTATAGAAATTTTAAAAGAAGATTTTTCTTTTTTAGATTATTACTCCATAGATGATGTGTGAGGGGAAACGAGGTACTGTTAGAACAGGTTTTTTTCATGGGTAAATCAGAGTAGTGATGTATGTCTTTATTATCTGCCCATGTCTGCTTTGGACATCTCAGAGGGTTGTTCCCCATCCTTCCCAGCTACTCTGCTAAATTTGCTATAAAAGGTTTACCAGAACCAAAGAGGATGCCTCCATTTTTTTCTGAATGCTTCAACGTTTTGTACTGATTTAATCTCAGAAACTGGCACAAGGCTGTGAAAAGTAAAGCACTGTATTCAGTACCTCTGCAATAATTCTCAAAGTTCAGACATGGGGAATTGAGCAGGTGAAGCTACTGCATAGCTGAGACTCACTCATGTAACGTGACCGAATCGTACAGTTTCCCCTGAAGGGAATTTATTTATTTTCTCTCAGTGTATGTTTGCACTGACACTGCTGAGGTAACACAGGGATAACAAAGCCAGCTCAGGTACCAGAAGTGGCATAGCTGCTCGAGTGGCTTCTGTGGTAACAGTTATTCTCAGGGTATTTTGGCCCAAGAGAGACTCACGTTAACACAGCCCCGCTGCTTCTGGTACCCAGCCTAGGTCAGAGATCTGCCCAGTGCAGTGCACGTAGATGTGACTGTAGTCTGCAGTGGATGTGCCTGATAACAGTATGCTCAATAGTGTTTATCTCCCTCTTCCCCCTCCGTTCCTAGGATAATTGATGAAGATGAGGAAGTTCATGCTGATGGAAATGTTAGCAATCTGCCCACTCTTATCCTGTCAGATACCCTTAAAAAAGGGATGAAGAGGGATTTTGGTGAAGTCCTGACAAAGAAAATAATAGAGTCTATGTAAGTTCTGGAGGAAATAATGGTGCTATGTAGCTAACACATGCAAATGAAAAGAGAGACCCCGTCTCATATTTGTGGAGATGTCCTTAATTTACTGCATGATGCAGCCAACATTGTATAACAGACCATTCATCTGTCAAAAGTAGGAAAAACTGTCCTAATGTAAAAGAGAAATAAGTATAACTGTAGTGGTCACCAAGTGTCTGTTTTGTACTCCTCATTACTACAGAGAGAAATTTGTTGATTAAACCATTATAAGCTTTAGTTTTATGTATATGAATTTTCAAAATGAGAAAATCCTGAAGTGTGACCAACAGTCATCAAGTTTTGTGCTAAAGAAAAGAGAGAAAATACAGGGTTAGAACTAGAAGTAATGGAACTAGTTAAGGAAGAGGAAACTTAATGGGGGAGGGGGAAAAGGCATATGGCTTCTGGAATATAGTTCCAGGCTAGCTCAAAGGATGAAGATACTCTCTGGTCTTCTGCATTTAATAGCTGTGCTTGGAGAACTTTAATTTAACTGAAACTCCATCCCCTTCTAGGAGCCGTCCTTCTATGGAGCTGGTGCTTTGGAAACCTCTTCCTGAAACTCTGACAGATAAACTGAAGTCTGTTTCTGTTAAGAACTTCAAGCAGCAGAGTACAGAAGGGTGTCAAGCTAAGCAGCCAACACCAAGAGCTCCTTTTGACCCACAGACTGAAACGTTCCCTGCATCACAACAGACTGCCATGTCTCCAGATCCGTATGCTAGTTTGGGAATATCTGGGTGTGCAGAAGAAGAAATGGAGTTGTAGATGCCAGATTTTAGATTGGAAGTGGTGAGCTTCTGATGCTTTTTGTTGGTGTTTTTTTATTCTTTCTGGTTTGATGTGTGAATCTGAAGTTATATTATTTGTTTTTTGTTTTCTTATTAACAATCGTAAGGACATGGTTTGGCCAGGAAACACCCCAAGATTTCTGTACTCCAGTCTGTTAAATATTGTTATTTTTACTGAAAAGGTAATCCAGAGGCCTTTGGAACAAGGAAGTAGCTTTCCATCTTGCTTAATGGTGAAATATTCTCTTAATTGCCCTTGGTAAAGTATAAAATCTAAATATTGAATGTAACTGTGGCTTAAGCCGTGTCTTTCACTTACTGAGCCATTAAGATTTTGGTGCACATACTATGCTTGGCCAGTTGGTTTAATTTGA